TACCTCAGAGTGGCGTGGTGGGTGTCGAGGCCTAGTAGCGTGCAAAGCCTGCGGCCTCGCCTAAAATTGTCGGCTTGGAAGAGGCAGGGTACGGGTGGCGTTCCTTCCCCCCCCCCTAGCGCTCCAACAATACTGTGTAATGGCTATTATTTAATTAAATACGGAGCTTATGAAAGTGGCGAAGGCGTGGCTAGCCGTTGGCAGGGGCAACCGCCGTCCAATGAAACTGCAGCCCTTGGCGAAGGCGTGGCTAGCCGTTGCCAGGTCCAATGAAAGCGGCGAAGGCGTGGCTAGCCGTTGCCAGGGGCAACCGCCGTCCAATGAAAGTGCGTATGGGCCAAAGTCCACACACACACACACAGACAGACAGACATGAACGATTTTATATATATAGATTGGGGGGGACATTTTGAGCATATTTGAATATTGGGGGGGGATGTGTCCCCCCCCTCAATATATATTATAATTACGGCCTTGAGTTCAACACACATAACACTGGGCTCGCTACTTAGGCACGATGCTCAAATCGGTGTTCTGCTGTACGGCACGACCCCCCCCTCCCGCATGACATGTGAATGAACTCCGAGTGGCATGAGAAGCCAGAGCAGCTGCCATCTCCACAGTTGTGTTCCTGTCCTTAAATGTAGGTCACACTCGCAATGGTGCGTGGCACATTTGCTTTTATTTGCGAGTATATCGCCCCCACAAACTGATTTATGGCAAATAGCTCTCTGCAGATCACACGGAATGTATGTTAAACTTCTTTCGCACCGTACGTAGCCAACCGTGTTAATCGGAGGTGAGGGGGGAGGACAAACTAAATCACACAAAGAGCAGTTCTAAAGAAATTAGTTTTCAATTTAAGAACACTTCTGCCGAGGAAAGCCACCGCCTGCCTGCCACAGGCGACGACCACGTCTCGTCCTTGCTGAACCCGTGATAGCACGCGACCTATTCCATCGTCGTTAGCGTCCGTAAACGTAAATATGAATTCAGGATATGCCAGTTAAGATGTGAACGCAGCGACACGAAAGGAGCTATACTCTTTGTTTTTTTCGGTAAAGTCACGTAGGTAAAAAAAATAAAAACAACTAAATTAAATCACGACGTTTCGGAGGCAACACAAGTCAACACAAGCCAAGTGATTTGATACAGCAATTTTGCTGTGACGGTTTCCATCTGAAGACGAAAGCTTGTGTTGCCTCCGAAACGTCGTGATTTAATTTAGTTGTTTTTATTTTTTTTTCATTTTTTTTTACCTACGTGATTTTACCGAAAAAATCAAAGAGTATGAATCCTTGCAGTCACGAAAGCTTCAAATCTAGAACGAAAGGAGCTTCTCTTGATTTTAATCCTCCACGACAATGTGCAATGACTTTACAATGGACGCAACATCTGTGATGAACTGGCAGTCGTGTAACGTCACCGACACGCGCTGTACTCGGAGCGTCTTTATTTTGAAACAGCACCAAGACAAGGCCCGGCTTCTTGCTTGTGGTTTGACGCTCGTAACCCTCTCCCGAACGTCCCGTGTCCTCCCCTTGTTGCTCTCCCCTTTTAACCCTTTAGAGCCATTTCTCTCGAACATTCTATTGTCCTTTCTCAGGCAAATCCACGTCCTCCTCTTCACATCTTGACTTAAAGCTTTCGTGACTGCAGGAATTCATATTTATTTGGGTCTTTAGGTAAAGTCACGTAGATAGGTAAAAAAAAAAGAATGAAATACAAACTACGACGTTTCGATCGCAACACAAACGACCGTCATCAGGTGAAAAAAAAACTTTCAAAACGTCGCAGTTTTGTTGTTGATTTTATTAGTTTTGAACCTATCTACGTGACTTTACCGAAAGACCCAAATAAATGTCTTCCTCCTCACCTCAATGGTTCTCAACTGTCGCCTCAACGTTCAACTTCCACTTCCCACCTTATTTGAGTTTGAACCTCTCCTCCAATTCCTTCAAACCTTGACCCCCCCGACCAATAGGAGGCCTTCGCCTACCTCCTGGAAGTCTGTTTGGCAGAACATTGGCTTCAGATGAAGTTGCTCCAGAATTACGGTCGTTACATTAGGAAGAAATAAATCCCAAAAATCTGCAGACCTCGGACACATTCATAGGGGCAGGCAACGTCCGTACTCACTGCGTTTTTGTGATCCGTGGTGACACCTAATTCAGGGACCACGTGCCCCAGATAACGCACCGCAGACTGCGATCAACGGCACTTTGCGGACTTCAGTAAAAAATTTGCCTTCTGCAACCGCAAGATGATGAAGTGCAAGCAACCCCAATGCTCCTCGAAAGTTTGGCCGAAAATAATGACATCCAGATTTAAAAAAATCTCACTGAAGGCCGGTGAACACTATTTCCGCCACGTAACGAACATTCAGAGAAAGCAGCGGTATTGTTTCTGCAAAATATTGTGCAGAGTATGGGAAATGATATTAGCCGAGGCGCCCCATGTTGACTAAAACCCTTGCCTTGATATCCGCGGTCGCCCCCATCAGCACCGATGCCCGATGCGACATCTACCACCTGCCTAGCGAATTTGCACCACAGTGTCGTCGAGTTGGGTCACTAATCAGGCAGTGACTCGGTAAGCAGTAGCAAACATGTAGAAGAAAATGTGTGATTTGCCTTGGGATGCATAGACAGGAGGTGGTGAGGAAGAGGTGAGGATGCAGTGAGACAAAGGGTCTCGCCACTTTGGTGACTGGGGTCTGCTCATTCGCCTGCCTGTTGCTGGAAGCTGAATTTCGGAACCCCAGATGAGGCATGCTCCATCCTTTGCAGCACCCTTGCGTGATGTGGCCCTCCTGTCCACAGCAGTGGCAGAACACAGTCGTGTGAGGAAGGCACATCTCGGCGGGACCCCAAAATGTTGCACCCCCCAGACGTGCCTTCATTAGCCCCTGGATGGCCAAAACGACATGGTTGAGTGTTGCCTTCGGTGTCTCTGTCACCATCAGCCATGTCCCCGTGGATGTCTGTGGTTCAGTTGACTCTTTCGTCTGTTCGATCACCCGTGCCATGATCCATGCTGGGCCCTGAAACTCTTCATACGCGAGGGATGCTTCACGCGACCCGCAGAAAAGTTTGCGCACCCCCTTCCACCACTAGTAGCACAATCTCACCCAGACAAGCTTAAGTGGTGAGTCGCTGAGTCACCAGCATGCCTCCGCATCCAGTTTCGGGAAAGCGCTTCTTCCTCCCATTAACAGCACGCCTCGATCTTTGAGCCTCTGTACTGCGCCGGACGGTGGATCGTTAACCTCCGCCAAAACCAGATACACCGCTTAGGAGGGTGGCCTGATTCTCCTTGGCAATAGCTAAGGTTCCCAACGCTTGGGAAGAGCTCACATGGCTTTCTCCATCGTCCACTCCCAGAAGACTACCACCGGACCCACGGCTGTGAACTTCTCAGCCAGCCTAAGGCGACATGGCTACCTTTAATCTGGTCTCCTCTGCTTCTGCTCAAAGGCGAATTGGCTGCTGTGGGGCGGGTCATCCCTGCTCCAGTTGTGGCGGTCTCCGCTGAGCTCAGCGGCCGTGGAGGTGACCTCGCCTCGCTCCACTCGGTGGGCTGTAGCCCCCGGTGGCTCAGCCTCGCTCCCGGAATATGATGGCAGTGGTTGAACTGCCTGGGCCTTCAATTGCTGCAGAAACTCATCACACGTTGTTGTTGTTCTTGCTCCGCCAGAGCCTCTGCCACCTGGCTAAGCCTCCCCTCAAGCTGAGCAACATCTCCGCCGTTGAGACTGTCAACAGCGGAGTGGATCAACCCAGTCGATGTGTTCTTGCAGCTGTTGGTCCTCCTCTATCCGTGATGCCCTTCCACTAGACCACTAGGGATGGCTCCCCTTGCTCTTGCTCCTGCTGGACCCTCCCTTATTCATGGACCCCTTCTGTGCATCTCTTCAACAAGTATCCCACCACTGCCACCAGTTGTAAAGGAAGTCCGAACGCCATTTCCTTGAGAGGTACATTGTCAACAAATTTTAAACACCACAACTGCACTGTTACATAATGTAGGAGCCAGATGACATCCCTGTTACACCCCAAGGTGAATGTGGAATGGCTCCGAATAAGAACACACCGTCTCTCCGCTCAGTGTGCGTGTGTCAAAGAACGTACGCATCAGCAGTGGGGAGACAAAGGCGGCTGGGCTTGGTTATAGCCACACCAACCCCTCATGTAACCATGCTTGCTTTCATGTCCTTTTCTAACAGCACATACTGCAATCGCCTGCTAAGGCTATACAGGGAATCTTTGTCAAAGAGGATGTGTTTGAGAAAGTGATCTGACCTCTGTTAGTTTGTAAGAGGTGCGTTTGGGGTAGTAATGTGGCAATGTGTGAGGAGCAGTGGCTCAAGGTGAATATCTGAACTGGTCCTCGGCCTCCCCAAGGACGACTCAGCCTTACACGTGATTATCTGGTGCAATGGTGTGGATAAAACATCACCACTGGGGATACAAAGGTGGCCTGGCAGGTGATTATCTCATGCCACCTTTTAATTATTACACGCTTTTTATTTAATTCACTGTCTGTTGTTGTCGTATCCTCAAATCTTGTAACTCAATTTTAACCCACTTCCCAATGTGGTATCCACTGCAAACTTGGTATACTTGTCATACTGATGACAATACTATATTCTATCATGAAAAATATATATTTTTAAACATTCATTTTTATATGTTATGTTTCGGCTTAGGTCTAATTGTACACGCTCAACTAACGTTGGCTGTAATTGGCCACGGTCCGTACGTTATGGCAAGCTTCGGGGCCACTTCCTGAAGTCGTGGAGTTCTGCCATTACTAGTACATTTCATAAAAGCGTGTTTTTTAAAAGTTTTTTTAAAAATATTACTTATCACAATGATACTACCCTCAATGTCCCACAACCCTAGACCAGAGTTCATTTAGCCACCACTTTCAGATGACTTCTATATTAACGATGTTGCCCAATTCCAAACATAGGGACAGAAGTTGAAATTATGCGGAGCAAAAGTACACAACGGAATGAACTGTTTATTGTATTTAAATTACACGTGGACAGCACAATACAAGCAAATGTGTGAATAAGAAAATAAATTGTGAAGTGAACCATTACCTGTAAATACTTTCAACGAGCCATATTATGCGGTGACAAGAGATTTAACAAAGGTGTAATAACAAAAGCAGAGGGATAGAATGAGCATCGTCCACAGCGTAGATCTGCTGTTGTGCTCCACACTTCCAACAGAGGTCCGATCAATTCGATGCTCAGCTCAACTCTGACATCTGCTGCTGTGCCGTCTTCAGCTCTATATTCGCACAAGAATCAACATATGAAATACATAACATTTTAATTAGTCTTTGAGTATTGGAATACAATTACTACATACCCCAAAAACAATATACAGTCATACCTCGGTATACGATCGCTTTGGAATATGTTTTGACGAGAAAAAACTGTCTTGGGATACGACGTCTTGCTTGGGATACGACGCGCTTGCTAGAACTTGTGTGGGTCGGGATGAGTCACCGCGTACCCGCGTAGACCCCGTTCACGATTCCTCCCCTTCCTCACCAACATCCTCGTAGGCTATCAACTCTTCTCAGCAAGGTAAAGTGACGTAAAATTTTATTTTTATTCCAATTTATTTTAGTTTATTTATTCATTTATTTTCATTTATGTATGCATTTTAGTAATTAGTGTCTAAATTATTTTATACAACCCCATTAATGGATAATATGATATATAAAATATAATTTCTTAAACTCTGGAACGGATTATTTCCTTTCCCTTGATTTCTTATGGGAAAAATTCGTTTGGTATACGTCACTTTCGGTAAAAGTCCTACCTTCTGGAATGAATTAACGACGTATACCGAGGTACCACTGTATACCGTGTATATTACCATGAGTAACCATTCCATTACCCCCAATCACTGCTTCCACATGCCACATTTGGGCTGTGAAGCACAACTAAAGATTCGAGTTATTAAAAGTGGAACTTGTTTTTATCAACCAGCAATCTGCCTTATGGAATCGACTCTGATGTGTCAGCGGCAATCCGCCATGAGGCACCAGCGGCAGGCCACCGCATGGTGTATTTGCCCTCTCGGTGAAAAGGTGCAGCCAGACAATTTAAAACAATTATTATAAAAACTATAAGGTCTTCATGTGTTTGGTCCATCCATTTGTCTAAGCATTGTTGCCTTGCTAACCAGTGCGATATGATCGACTGCTGAAAATTCAGTTGTTTTTCTTCCAATTGCATTTGTTTTGCTTTTGCAATTTAGATGACCCAGATCACTCTTGCAAGTTAGAATATCCTGGTGAAAAGAAACGTAAAACTTGTTCAGCCAATTAACTGTACTGACATTTCAGCCAATTGAATGCAACAGGCATCCCACCACGTGTTTGGGTCCTCAGCAGTATTTTATTAGCGACTAGCTTTGTAACCCGGCTTCGCCCGGGACATAATTCACCACGCCCGGCCGCCTTTGTCTCCCCAGTGGCGATGTTCACACACCACACCAGTTAATTGTTTGAGGCTGAGTGGACCTAGGGGAGGCCCAGGACTGGTTCAAATAATCGTCAGCGGTGGTGGCCGTGAGCGGGAATCGAACTCGGGTCGCCGGGTTCGTAGCGCAGCGCGCTAACCGCTACACTACAATGCGTTACGCTTCCACATGCGCGGGTCACGTGACAGATTTGACGTCACAGCTCAGTTGCCGTGCAAAAAATTATATGCATTATTGAGCTCCCCCACCCCCCCCAAAAAAAATTCAAAAGTGTATTTTTATAATGTTTGCATGGTGTACAGTCTGGAAAGTACCCACATGGCAAATTTCCAGTTTGTTGCATGTCGGGAAGTACGCTAAACATTTTCAACAGACACACATATTCACAACTTTGCCTTTTATATATATGGAGATGATACATTACCTGCCAAGCCAACTGCAAAGGATGTACATAATGTGGAATTGTATCCCAGGTTCTGAGATTGCAATGCAGAGTTTTAAAAATCACAGCACTGCCCCCCAAATATGCATACACGCATACGGACAGAATACAGACCTGTGAGAAGGACTCGCAGTTTGCTGTCAGACAGTGTGAAGGCGATCGGATTGATGATTCCAGTGGCCCCATCCTGGATATTAAGCCGAAGCTGCACAGATGGTTCATTAACCTCCGCTAGCTCGCTGGAGCAGAGTGTGTAGTCCACACGCCATGAGACGCCTGCCAGACGACTCACTACCGAAGCACAGGGGAAAGGGTTTACATTCGTAAGCACAGAGACACTTAAACACATTTACTTCAGTGAGTATCGCATTTAACTCTGCTATGCTACCACTACACTGTGATATACAGCGAAACCTCATCTATTTGTATGTCGATTATACGCAATTACAACTTTTTAATTGTTTCAGCATTCAACAGTAAAGTTAAGTACATTTTATAGAAATAGAGGATAAAATATATGAGCAGCAAACATAATTACCCAATCATGTGAACTATTGAATATACAAAATTAGTACACTACTTTTGTAAAAATGTAAATCACACAATAAAGTATGTCAGATAAGTTAATTGAGTAAATTAATGGTCAAGGTGCATGTAAATATAGGCATGCTTGGTTTTAAAATATAAAGCATCAAAACTGAACTAAAATAATCACTGTACTAGTATTTGAAAAGGTATCCCCCAAAATGGGAATGAATGGTTGAGGTTTCAATGAAAATCTCTCCTGATAAAATGCATTTAAATAAAGCAGTAATCTTTGGATCTTTTGGTAAAGTCACGTAGGTGAAAAATAAAAATAACTAGTGATTTAGTTATTTTCTATTTTATTTTATTTTCCTACGTGACTTTACCAAAATAACCAAAGATTATGGATCCTTGCAGTCACGAAAACTTCAAATCTAGAATCAAGAGACCAGTGTCAGCTCAACAGCACAGGTTTAAACAAATTCTGCTAGATAACAGTGGTCTACATGGCCCAAAAGCTGACGAACTAAAAAGTATTGAATTTTAAGTGAAGACATTCGGAAGTGAATTTACATTTTATATTACCTGCAATGCTCCCAACACCACAAAATGAGCGTTGTCCTGACGATATTACACATTTACTATTTAAATTAGCCAACAATTTCCCTAACATCAAGAGAACACACACAGCAATTTGTACCATCGCTCCTTTAACGTCTAAACAATGACAATACACTCACGGCGCAGGCTCTGACTCTTCAGCTGATCCTGGAGTTCCGCTTGCTTATCTTCATAGACCTTACACAGAGCGGACGCGTGTTCTGAAATCAATGCAAAAAGGTACAATTTACCAATTCAATTGGATATAAAACACGTGAAGTTTTCTTCTATCCACTGCTGGCCCGAGACTACCACTAGTCCATCATCTCTATAGGATACTTTATACAGGTGGGAACAACAGTTCCACACTGCCCACCAGGGATTATTTGTCTGTCTGTCTGTCGTGCATAGCCACTCCCTCGATTTGTATTTCATAGAGCGCTTCGGGCAGGTTCAGCACCACGTGACGCGCCGCCTGACACGGATCGCACGAATGCGCTGTCCAACCAAGTTCCTACCTGCCCACTCCGAAGGAACGTGTTCCACTGCTGGTCTAGACTTCATCTAGTGCACCATCTCTCCATTGTTAACACTCTCCGATGCTCACCACTTTTTAACCCCTCGCACAACCTTCACTCATTCTGCCTGCAACCGCTGGGGAGAGCTGAGGCGAGGAGTCTCGCTCTACCCACTGCTGGCCCAGACTACGTCTCTACAACTTTTGCTCTATCATGGCCTAGACTCCGTCTCTATAGGTTGCTCTATCCACTGCTGACCTAGACTCGTGCCCCGCCCAATCCGTTCTGACACTTGGGCTACGCCCACTTTGACACCTTTATAAACAATTGCATTTAGAGGCTTACCCCCCTTTGCTCTCCGCCTAATGACGACCGCTTGTGTTGCGATCGAAACGTCGTAGTTTTTGGATTATTTTATTTTTATCAATTTGAACCTATCTACGCGACTTTACCGAAACACCCGAAGAATATGAATTCCTGCAGTTGAAATTAGGAGAATATTAAACAAAAGAGATAGGGATATATGACATGAAACAGGAGGAGCATCATCCAAATCCATCGTGTCCTTTCTTGATTTGAAGCTTTCGTGACTGCAGGGATCCATACTCTTTGGTTCTTTCGGTAAAGTCACGTAGACAGAACCGCCCTAGACCTTTGGGGGCCCTAAGCAAAATTTGGTTGGAGGCCCCTTTGATGTATGATTTTTTTCACCCACTAGCTAGCAGTGACTCTAGGGGGCCCTCTGCTGGCCACGGGGCCCTTTGCCATTGCAAGGGTCGCTTAGTGTCTGGGCCGGCTCTGCACGTAGGTAGAAAATAAAATAAATCACGACGTTTCGGGCGCAACATAACCGTCCATCATCAGGTGGGAAAGCGTGGCCTGCTGCTGAGGCAGACTGTTTTAAAAGGTTTGAATGGGTGTAGCTCAAGGGTTATAAAGAAGTGGCCGGGGCTAGTGATGTTAATGTGAGAAATTAGCATGTAACTGTAAGATAGGAGTGTGGCCTCCTCGACGAGGGCACGGAAGTGGCTATCATGTCCATCTTGAGTTTGTCAACATTTCTGAATAGAAGGCAACTTCTTCAGACACGGTTATATATGGGCATACAGGAGGAAGTTTAAACCATGTTGAAGGATATTGGGTTATCAGCAAAAACTTCCGAGTGCAAATTAGCTATAAAATAAAGCGACGACAGTCACTTCCCATTACATTGAACAAATTACACACAGAACCATAAACAAGTATAACCCGTAAAAACAAAGTTTTTCACTATAAATCCTTTATATGCGTGGCGGCTAGAGTCCTCTCGTCCTCTGGCTTGAGATGGCTGCCACCTATGGGTCAGATGATTGTCTGTCAGTATTAAGCAATTGGTAATTAAATATTTAATTTGTTTTCCCTAAACAGTGTAAAATTTTGGAAAAAAATTTTCACGAACATTAATTGTCTGTCACAACGAGTCTGTGTGGAAAATGTCAGCTCGATTGGATCACGGGAAGTGGGTTAAAAAACGACCGAAAGATTTGCACGGTCGGAAGCAAGCAAGCAAGCACACAAGCACGCAAGCAAGCAAGCAAGCGAACTTAATATAAAGGATTTAAAAAGAGATTACCTTTTGGCAGACCTAACTGCTGTAGTTCACTGGAGAGAGAATTTCCATCCACGTTGTACTTAGCCGCACTGCACAGCACAAACTCGAGTACAGCCAGACTTGCCTTCACATCCCCACTTTCTGCACAAAGACATGGACACAACAAAGTTAAACTACAATATTAACCGAGATTAGAAGTGTTCGTGACTGCAGGGAACCATACTCTTTGGTTCTTTCGGTAAAGTCACGTAGGTAGAAAATAAAATATATTAAATCAAATCACGACGTTTCGGGCGCAACACAAGTGTCCGTCATCAGGTGAAGAAACAGAGCTATATACACCACGGATGACAAAGAACCTGTTACCGTTATAATTATTAAACTATATTCTTGGTTATTTCGGTAAAGTCGCGTAGAAGGGAAATAATAAAGTAATAGAAATAAAAACAATATTTATTTAATTTTTATTGTGTGTTTTTATTATTTTATTATTTCCCTTCTCCGTGACTTTACCGAAAGAACCAATAATATTAATCCCTGCAGTCACGAAAGCTTTAAATCGAAAAAATTATTAAATTACTTTTCATTGCTTGAATCACCAAATTGCTAGGTTTGTAAATAAACAAGTAAAACCAAGATTTGGCATGCTTAATAAAATACAGCACATGTTGACGCAACCCACCAGTTAAATATAGATTGCCAGAATTGGATTCGGAGGGTGTATCGGCATCCCTTGCGTAACAAACCCCCCATCGCATGAATATGCAGTTACGGGATTCATCTTTTATGGACATATGCGTTTCACAGTTACGCGCTCCCATTTTAAACATATTTTTGTAAAATTACATGTTTCTAAACGTATATTTTTTTCAATGATAATAATTCTGAGTTATAAAAACAATATTTCGCAGGTCAACCAACTAAAATCTCAATCTGATGGCGTCACCACGTCATGGGCATCGTCAGTGTCACGATCCGAGTAGAAGCAGCCCAAGGAAGCGTTCAAGAAAGCCGGGAGTTACGCCTTATTAAGTAATCTTTGTAAGTTGGTACCAGGCAGTCCTCGACTTATGAACCAACTTCCATTAAATATAACTTTTTTTCAACATTGACTTAACACGCAAACTCGCACTTGCAAACTCAACCGTGGAACCATTTTATTCAGCCGATTCAAGCCTCGCATGGGGAGTGAAGGTCTGTGTGTGTGTGCACACGCACAAACGTGAGTCTGTGGAGGGCGGTAGTGTAGCGGTGAGAGCGCTGCGCTACGAAACCAGCGACCCAAGTTCGATACCCGCTCACAGCCAATACCAGTGACGATAATCTGATTGGGTCCTGGGCCTCCCTTAGATCGACGAAGCCTCAAATGAGTACCTAGTGCAGTGTGTAAACAACGCCACTCGGGAGACAAAGGTGGTCGGGCGTGGTGCTGGCCACCCACCAACACCTCGTGTGCCGTGCCGGCCTTCATTAGGTCTTAACTAAGACTACACGGGGGATCTTTGTGTTTGTGTGTGTGCACGGGTACCCCCGTGTGTGTGGGGGCAGTAGTGTAGTGCAGAGGTCGCAACCGGGTACCCGATACCGGTACCCTACCCGATACCCGGCTACCCGTACCCGGCCGGGTACGGGTACCCGTTTGCGACCCTGGTGCGGCCGGGTATGGGTAGACCGTGAGTCACTGGTGAGTAACTGTTTGTCACTCATTTCCCAACGTCTTGTCTCTTCTCACAATTCAAGTTCCTAGAATCAACCCACCCGCGCCTGCAACATGGCTTCATCCCAGAGGTCGCAATCAGGTACCCGATACCCGTACCCTACCCGTACCCGGCCGGGTACGGGTAGGGTACGGGTACGGCCGGGTACGGGTACCCGTTTGCGACCCTGGTGCGGCCGGGTACGGGTAAGGAATAAAAACCCGTTTGCGACCTCTGGTGTAGTGGTTAGGGCACTGCGCAATCAACCCGGCCACCTGCGTTCGCTTCCCACTCGCGACCAACACCAGTGACGATTATCTGAATGGGTCATGGGCCTCTCCTTAGTCGACTTAGCCTCAAATGAGTACATGGACTCGAAACTAGCCGGGCGCAGTGATGCCCACTCTCCGTTTTGTGTGCCGTGCCGGCCTTCATAGGTGCTGCTCGATAACAGCACTTGCCCCAACGGTCTGTTAAGGCAAGACAGGACTGGTGACGCAATGGCAGAAACAGAACACATCTGAGACGGTGACCACTAAGGAGGGGCAATAATATCAGTACATGTACACAAATAGGTGTACATGAACTGATTGTGGCATCGCAGGGCGATAGAGAAGCATTCAACAAACAGTGGGTAGACTATGGATGGCGATGATTGGAAGCGATGACTTCAACTTACCAAATTTTGCATCTTCTGTAAGCTTCGTGATTTTCTGGTACTGCAAAATGACAGAAGATCCACCATATGGTAATACTACAGGAATGATACATTGATCTGAACCAGTGAAACATCCACTGCTATGCTATGATTGTATAAACGTCTACCTCTACAAGAAGTAGAAACATTTCAGATGGATTTCAGGATATGTAACAAGGCTTTATATCCCTCTAAAACTCATCTTCAACATGAGTAAACCAAATGGGATATTAGTCCAAAGTCCCCGTCAACTCCCAAACTTGGTACAATTTATCTAAACACCTAATGCGGCTCTTGTATCAACATGTTTACTCTTACTAGTACCTTGGCATCCGACACGATGAGTCTTTGGATTTCTGAATGCATGTTCCAACGCTCACAAAGACATTATTTTTCATGTTCTTCTTTACTTATAAACCAAGCCTCTTAACCGCTGCTCATGAGCTGATCGAATCGACCTTCATGCCTGTACTTGATTCTGGCGATGCGATCTGAATATCTGCTCACATAACTGTTCTGAACATCCGAGCTCACGTTTTCCACTCTGCCGTAGGATTCATTCTAAACAAGTCAATTAATAATTGGGACTGTTACTACAAGTCACTTTATATTCTACCATCCCGCTGCAGAGAGCTTAACAATCAATCGCGATTGTCCATTCATTTCATATGGTTTCCGTATTCGAGATTTACAACATATGATGCGTTGCAACTCTTTATCATCACCGAATAGGTAATTAGGTGTGCATATATTCATGCCAAACAACATTTCTGCTGCGGTATGAGGCTTCTCATTGAACCCACATATTCTGCTCCAGTCATCCTCTTATATTTGGGTAAATTTAAATTATTATAAAAGGATGTGTTCGAAGTGGGAGTGGGGGGCACGCCGGTTAGCTCACTGAGCTATCAACCCAACGACCCGAGTTTAATTCCCAGAAATGCCGAATGTCAGTGACAAGTTACGTCTGAACCAGCATGGAAAAATATGGTAACGCGATCACCATCACGAAAGCAACATGGATTAACAAAGAGCTACGAAATTATTATTTAAATTCCATTCACCTTAAAATAAAGAATGAAGGGCCTGTACTGGCAGTGGTATACAAGTGTAGTGTAGCAGTGCCGACTGGCGGCCACAAATGGCAACTTCGGGTGTACCAACAGTCTGCATATAAGGAGCAGAGAGTATACACGGGAACGTCGGCGGAGGGGAGGAACTGGGGCAAGGGTCATTGAGGGGATCCATCTGGGAGCTCCGAGTACCAGCCAGAGTTCTAGAAAGGAGGTGTGGCCAAGGCAGAGCCGGGCCACGCTGGAAGGATAAAAGGGGGTGAGAGTCGGGGCTCGGGGCTGTCCGTGGGAACCGGGGTCGTCTCGTCGTGGAAGTCGTTGTCGCCATCGTCGCTGTCGTCCTTGTCATCGCTAGACGTCGCCGCTGCTGGATAGTCAGCCAGCCATCCAGGCAGTTAGCGCCGTCATGCTAGACCAGGGGTCGGCAACCAAAATAACAAGAAGAGCCATTTCTTTCCAATTCGGTACAAAATTCAGTATTTCAAGAGCCGCAATGCATCTGAGTACATACTGTACATACGTACATATCGTCAAGAAGCAGCCCGTAAAGAGCCGCATGCGGCTCCGGAGCCGTAGGTTGCCGACCCCTGTGCTAGACGGTCAGTGTTGTGTTATGTGAGTCGAAATCAAGTACGAGTAAATAAATAAAGAAGGTGCCTCTACAGTTATCGTCTCCGGAGTCCTACATTACACAAGCACAAATACAATAATAAACCTCACCTTGCTCATCATCAACACTTCATTGTAACATGGGAGACTAATATTTCAGGCAATGGTCTTCCTTCAGAGTCAGAACATTACATCAGCACATCCCTTCCGGACGGACACTGTAGACCCAAGCTAGTGACGTCACTCCTGCAGCCAATGGACCGGGGGGTGATGGCGCTGATGAAATCCCACAACGAGGACCTTCTTTGCGATGCTACACGGCATTGAGGATGGTGACCTCCACACACTCGTAAGGTTTTGGAAGGGTCTCTACATTAATGTGCTTTTAGAGGTTGCCTAGGCCTGGAGACTGGTGAAGAACGACGATGCCCTTAAGCGCTGCGTGAAGCCGCTCTGGGCAGCTTTTTTCCACCACCATAGGTTGACGTGGATGAGGAGCAGAGGTCGCAATCGGGTACCCGATTCCCGTACCCTACCCGATACCCGGGTACCCGTACCCGGCCGGGTACCCGTTTGCGACCCTGTTGCGGCCGGGTACGGGTACGGGTAGGCCGTGAGTCACTGGTGAGTCACCGTTTGTCACTCATTTCCCAACGTCTTGTCTCTTCTCACAATTCAAGTTCCGAGAATCAACCCACCTGCGCCTGCAACATGGCTTCATCCCAGAGGTCGCAATCGGGTACCCGATACCCGTACCCTACCCGATACCCGACTATCCGTACCCGGCCGGGTATCGGGTACGGGTACCCGTTTGCAACCCTGGTGCGGCCGGGTACAGGTAAGGAATCAAAACCCATTTGCGACCCTGATGAGGAGGAGCGAGCAGCTACCCTGTTTTAGAAAATGTTCGAGTGTCCTGCACGCGACATTCCTTGCAGCGATGACACCACCCTGGACATTGTAGGCCCTGCCTGGCAGGGTCTACTGCATCTTTGAAAGAGGTGGCCAGCTTCTTTGAAGCATGCTACAACTGTGTTTATACAAGCACCACAATCTTCAAAGAAATCGCCATGCTTTCTAATAAAAAAGAGAGGCATGTTTGAAGTGCTTCAAACACGTCTGTGCGTGTGACTGAGATAGAGAGACGGAGATACAGAGAGACAAATGAAGATGCATAGAAACAAACGGAGATGCAGAGAAACGGGGATACTGAGAGAAAAAAAACGGCGATAGTAAAAGACAGAGATACTGGGAGACAAACGGAGATTCTGAAAGACAAACGAAGATACAGAGAGACAAATGGATATACAGAGACACCCACAGAGATACTGAGAGCTGGAAAAGGGTAGCCGGCAATAGAGGAATGTGAATGCGGCGTCAGTCGCGATACATGGCTCAACGGCGCTAACCTGACCTGGTTGGCCTGTTCCTGAGCGGGCATTTAGATTTGGCTTCGTTTTCAGTTACAGTTCACAAAGCGTAACATAATCCCCGAGTTACGACGGTCCGACTTACGATATTTCGATCTTACAATGGCGATACGACAAAATTGTAAAATAGTTTAAAGTTTGCGCGGCAGGCAAACGCAGCAGCGTACGAATCTTGGTGAGTACAGTACAATATGATATGTTACGATACGTTCAATGCATGTATGATACGTAGCTTTAGCGATTTCATTTTAGGGTTACCACGATACGATCAATGCATGTTAAGTTTTTATAGCAGATAGGATTGTTTCCTGAAAAAACTTTATATTAAATTTCAGTTCATATAGGTAGGTTAAGAATTTACCTTGTTTTTTACTTTACATTGTACTGTGCAATACAGTATTGTAATTAATAAATACATACAGTATATAGTTTATACAGTACGGTACTGTAAATTTCTCTGTTTTGCTAAATTATCACCATTCTTTAAGACTCCTGGGTAGGCTAGGCCATCTTCGACTTACGATATTTTCGACTTATGATGGGGTCGTCGTAACGGATCTCCATCTAAAGTAGAGGACTACCTGTATAATGGTTATTTTCCAGATAATGGTTATAGTTTTCTATTCGGTTTGAACCACAAACCTCTGTTGAAGAAAAGGATTGTCCACCATTCTAACAGTGACCTTTGCCATGGGAGGAGACGGGTGCCTGGTTTGAGTATGGATCTGATGTAAATAGACATTATACAATCTAATATTATTTACATAGCCCTTTCAATCAAGGCTACTGACATAACGTACAAAACGGAGACAGAAGAGAATGATTTAGATGGAAGGAGCACACAAGGTTTGAAGAATGAGTTACAATGATAGCGGGTACTTAGGCATCATGAAAGGGGAGGAAAGTTTTATTCCAGTGGAGGGATGGGCAAGGAGAGAGGACCAACAACGAGATTGGGCACAGTAATAAGGAAGGGACAGAGAGACACGGAGAAGATGGGGAACGAAGAGGACTAGAAGGGGATATGGAAGGCTATGAGAGAGGCAAGATAATGTGGGACAAAGGCATTGAAGAGATTTAAAGACTCGCGTCAGGTAATTGAAAAGGCAGCGGTATAAGCCAGTGGAGTTGAAGAAGCAAAGTAAGAATTAAAGGAGAGGCTAAAAATAACTCGTGCAGAAACATTTTGAATGCGTTAGAGGTGAGGGCAGAGGCAGGGAATGAATCAGGAGTTTGGCAGCAGAAATTGACATGAGAGGGTGGGGATTAGCCTCATGTTAAAAATAATTAAATTTATCAGGCAAGGCCTGCTGAGCAATTAGCTCCTTTTCAGAAGCGATCTGGTCACATTTGATAGCTCAATTAAGTGGCTTATTACGTGAAAAGTTACAGCAGCCAAATACTCTAAACACACGTCTATAAATGTTGAGAGAAAACCTGGAGGATCCGGAGAAAAATCCACAAGACTACGAGAACATGCAAACTCCAAATATACAGGCGTCAGGGTCGGGATAAAACCCGCGGCTTCCTGCATACCAGGCGCGGGAGTTAATATCTCACCACCATGGCAAGACAAAATTTATAAAAGCGGCAAATGCGAGTAGTCGCGGTGATGTGGGTGGAAAAAGTGAGGGAAGAGTCAAATGTGACACCAAGGTTGAGGGCAGAAGACACAGGAGAGAGAGAGGGAAATAGATGATTAAGACGGGAAGAAAACGAGATGCCATTAAGAAAATTATTCATGTTTTGGAAAGATTGACAGAGAGTGAAGCACCATCCAAGATTTGATGGCAGCCGGACACGAGGAGATACGAGATGAAAAGTGAGGGGTATATGAAGGGAAGGAGACGAAGATTTGGGTATCATCAGCAAGCAAATGATGAGGACGCCAAATATATAGAGAGAACAGTAAGGGACCCAGAAGTGAACCCTGCGGAACACTGACACTAAGAGGGGAGGGTGGGGATATGGAGTGATTGAAGAAGATGGACAATGTGCGAGAAGGTAGGACTTGAGCCAGGAGAGGTCAGAGAGAGTGGAAATAAGAGTGGGGTGATCAACAGTGTGAGAGGTGGCAGAAAGGTCGAGAAGAATGAGAATTGAAGACCGGCATGGAAGAATTTGCAGGATGGTTCTGGACATTGAGAAGGGCCGTTTCGGTGGAATGAAGAGGGAAAAAACTGGATTAGAATTGCAGATAGAGGGAATTCGAAGTAATGTGGAGCAAGCTAGTGAAGAACATGGCATTCCAGAATGTTAGTAAAGTACGGTGATAATTATTGCCAGGAATGGTGGGGTCAACGGAAGGTTTTTGACAGCGAGCTGTCACACAGTTACAATGGCTGTACTTTCTGACGCACAGGCTATTATTGAATAATTGTTGATGCGACAATACAGACCATGGTGGCAACCAATGAAACCGATTGTAACAGCTGTGCAGGAGAAACGAGCAAAGTAGCCAGACAGAAGGTAACCGGAGGTAAACCTGTATTGACCTCTGCAAGGGCCATGGCCTGCTCTTGCATGCAATGGTGGACGCCTGTAAATCATATTCACTGCTGGAACAAGATGTTCGACTGCTTGAAGCACCAGGACAATGGCAGGTTGCAATTGACATGCAAGTAAGGAAGTGAATGCACCACGACCAATGTGAAAGGGGATGATTTTAGCAACACATATGCAAGTGGAGGGATCTAAATATGTAAATATCGCCCTTGTGCCAGAAGCATCTGTCATTCGCATGCGAGGGAGCAAACATTAACACCTAAGCCTCATATTAGAGCATATCCTGAAGAATATCGGGTGAGACGGCGAACAGGCGGAATGGCTTAACCGCGGTGTCACATGATTAACTCAGAAGGACATGAGACTTTGCAGGGCTCTCACCATCATCATCAGTCTTGGTCAATCCACTGCTGAATGAAGGCCTCCCTTGGCTGCCACCACTTATCACAATTGCGAGATGTCATAATCCAGCCAATACTTGCGCACATGATCTGAGTTTATTGCTCCATCTCCAGTGGACATGCACTCACACTCCATCCTGCCCAAGCCCACCTTACTTTCTTAAGAGTTTTTTACGACGGCATTAACCTGCGTATACTTTGTAATCCGTGTTTCTCTTTTTGTCTCAGTTTAATTCCAAGCACGTATCCCTCCACGATTGGTTGTGCATTTTTCAGTTTTAGTTCTATATATCTCATGAGCGACTGTGGTTTCTGAACCATGTCATAATAGGTATTATGCACTATTTTTACATTTATTCCTGAGGGACATTCTCTTTATAGTCAAGTTCAGCTTCCCTAAAGCACTGCAATCTGTTCTGATCTGGCTCTTATTTCATCATGGTGATGTTGGTATACCATCAATAGCTGTCCTAGACATGTACAGTAAACCATTGGATTGCGAGCATAACTCGTTCTGGAAACGTGTTTGTAATCCAAAGCACTCGTAGATCAGTTGTGATCACGTGACGCTCGGCAGACAAAGCGTATACACGTGCTACTCGTATTGCAAGACCTCGCTCGTTTATCAAATTAATATTTATTCCAAATTTTTGCTCGTCTTGCAAAACACTGGCAGACCGAGTTACTCGCAATCCACGTTTTTACTGTATTCTGCTGTTTTCCAGTTTTATCACTCTGACAGATATCTTTAGATCCAACACTTTCTGTAAATGATGGAAAAAACCATCACAACAGGATGATATGTGCAGGATGAAAACAATTATAGTTAAAGAACACAAAGATGTGCTCACAAACAGCAGGAAGGAACAATGTCATGTTTTCAACATGTGCAAAGCTTCCGGCCTATCTAGATTTGGGATAAACTGTGGCAAATGCGTGTCACATTGTCTGACTCCCCTGTTAAAATGTATGTTGGTGTGTTCCTCATGTAATTATTAGTGTGATTGTTCCATTTTTGTAAATGGTGTGTATTATATCTAAATATGTATTTATTTAGGTCGTGGTTTGTGAGAGCTGGGATAACTGCGTTGTCATCATCTACAAAGGCCAGTGGATTTTGAAATGTATTTTTACTTTCCACAATCTCATAATACAACAATCAAATGCTTATCTTGTCCTATGCAGCTTGGTTGACTCAGATCCTATGTACAGAATAAAATAAAAAAGGGGTAAATTGCAATATTCCAAAAAGTCTTTAACGAAGATCTCTATTTGCAATATAAACAATGGTGCTCAAACCACATCATCTGTGTGTAGTCCAATCAATGATATTCAAAACAAAACAGCCCAATTAAAACCATTGATTAATAAATCCATTTTGTGTAATGTGGTAGCATTACAATAAAAAAGATTCCACCAAGATTTGTCACACGATACTGGCCTTAAGCTACTGACTTCCGCTGGGTATCAACCCGTGCGGCAAACCTCAGAATATGCCCCGTCAAGTGACACAGATGAACCACCTTTGCCTCCTTCTTTGACGGTGTTGCTCAGACGTAGTCTTTTCGCACCACGTATTAGGGAGAAGGGAAAGGTCCCTTTAATTTGCATGTAAATTTGCCAGCTATGCTCCAATAGCTTATCCCGCCAAACGTGACCAATTCTTATTGAAAGGGGACACTTCATCAACAAATTACGTATACAGGTAGTCCTCTACTTACGATGGAGATGCGTTACGACGACCCCATCATCGTAAGTCAGAAATATCGTAAGTCGAAGATGGCCTAGCCTACCCAGGAGTCTTAAAGAATGGTGATAATTTAGCAAAGCAGAGCAAATTTACAGTACCGTAGTATAAACTACATACTGTATGTATTAATTAATTACAATACTGTATTGCACAGTAAAATTTAAAGTAAAAAACAAGGTAACTTCTTAGCCTACCTATCTGAACTGCAATTTAATAGAAAGTTTTTTCAGGAAACAATCCTATCTGCTATAAAAACTATTAACATGCATTGAACGTATCTTATCGTGGTAACCCTAAAATGAAATCGCTAAAGCTACGTATCATACATGCATTGAACGTATCGTAACGTATCATATTGTACTGTACTCACCAAGATTCTGTCCGTCGTCTGCACACTTGAACGATGTTAGGTTGATGGCTACATTAACTTAGTTGTCGGAAGAGGAGGATGGCGATGATAAAATTTCAGTATCATACCTCGTACACTGCTGCGTTTGCCTGCCGCGCGAAATGTTAAATATTTGACAATTTTGTCGTATCGCTATCGCCATCGTAAGATCGAAATATCGTAAGTCGGACCATCGTAACTCGGGGACTACCTGTACAATCATTCCACTGCATCACACAAATAAAGGTCACGTACTGGAAGTTTGTGTCACTTTAAATTGGTATTGTTGTCAGATGTTGATGGCTTACATCAATTGGCTCTCCAAGTAGGTCTTTAATCATCTGAACACAGAGAAGCTTCATCTTCACAGATGTCTGTAAGAGAGGTAGTAGCCATACACAACTTTAGAACAAGTCTTCATTATTATTTACAACAAGCAAATTCATGGGTCAAGCAAAATATTGCCTTGATGTGTCTTTGCACAAAGATATGTAGAAAGCAGAGGCGTCAGTGAGCCACTTTATACAGAGCCGATAGGTGCAGTCTCATTGTCACACTTTTACTGATGTTTAGAATTTGAAGCATTAGTTGATGCTTTCGCATTAATAGCGATGTAAAACAATTAACGATAACACTAAACAACAATATCAATTATAATTCTCGTTATTGGCGTTCAGCATTGTGATTTTCATTTGCACGTCTTTGTTTATGTAAATATTTTACGAAACCTGGGTGGTTGACAGCCTATGTTTGAATTCATCGAGCAGCCCATAATTACACGAGATGCTTCAGAATAATGAATTGCACATTGGTAATTTCAGTCCAGTCTTGCATGAATGCAAATTAAATAATAGTAAGCGGTTTTCCATTTCATTCGGCATATTCATCGTTGAAAAAAAACAACCGTTAGATTTGTATGCATATTTGATGAATGCTCTTTCAAAACTGTGTACATGCACACCACCTAGTATGGTAAAGAAGCCAACCGAGGTGACTTCAGCATCAGTTATATTTCATCTACCAGGTGTGATTCCAACCACGAGATGATGCACTGGCAATTATGAGGTCAAAATAAAAATGTGTCTCATGTCATAATATGGCACAATTGTCATGCAAATGAAGAAGATAAATATGTATTTGAATACTATGTGCACGTAATTTATACTTTGTGTTTTCCAATTGGTTAGTAGGGCACCGTACATTATTGGATTTTTCAATGCTGGAAATGCAAAAGTTTTTTTGTTATTTTTTTGTTTACATATTGTACAGCCAAATGAAGTCACTATTAAGTGAAAGGCTGCCATGTATTTGCCATCCTTCATTGCCCTTTCACACTACAATCCACATCCCAAATTGCAGATTAACAGTCTGATAAAGGCTATATGGTGATCGTAGTCTTTCTACTCGTAAGTAGAGGGTTTTCCTACCTTCCATAAACTTAATATCGCACTCCATGGGTTGTAAATTACTTTGTGCTCTGATTAAGGGGATTGTCGATGCTTACAAGCTTAGCATGATACTTGCACTATTTCAATCATGGTGAAACATACAGACACTTACGAGAAGCAGCATAGCCAAAGACAGAGCAGAGGCAAGCATTGTCAAAAAGGTCCATCTTTGCATCACAACCAATAACTACTATTTGTGGTGCGTGCGCGGAAATACATTCTGCCAAAACTTGCATTTGGCTGGGTATTTGTTTAAAATGAAAAACACACGTGCAATCAATATAAATGTTTTAAGACAGATTTTCACAGCCAAATTGAATGATTCATAATAGAATTTTCGGTTAAGCGCAGACAAACAGATGAAACAGCCACGTGTAAGAGCGTTTAACAAACCGATCATTGTTTCACCTCCAGAATTAAAGCTTTCGTGACTGCAGGGATTCATCTTCTTGGTTCTTTCGGTAAAGTCACGTAGAAGGGAAATAATAAAATAATAATAAAACATACTAAAATAATTCTCACGACGTTTCGGCTGCTTGCGTTGTGGCCGAAACGTCGTGAGAATTATTAAATGTTTTATTTTTATTATTTTATTATTTCCCTTCTACGTGACTTTACCGAAAGAACCAAGAAGACCTCTAGAATTGTAGAACAATCCTCACAACCACATTTAGTGAGGCTAAATTTGCCAACCGGCTCCCACTGATCTGCAAGAACTCTGCGGGTAATAGGAGTCTTTAAAGCACAGCGGAGAAAGTCCAGGTTCACACAAACGTTCACATAATACATGCATCTCTTTCTAAATTCAGCATCAGATTCATAAGCATATACACGTAGTAAACATTCTAGATGTGAAGTTTTCGTGACTGCAGGGATCCATACAAATCCAATCGTGGGTATAATTTAATTGATTTGTATTAAAATTTAATGTAATTTTTTTTTTTTACCTAAGGAACTTTGCCGTAGTAAACATACTTAGTTTACTTGAACTGTGCGCCTTTTGGCGTCATCTGGTCGAACACCATATGAGACTAGGCTCTAAAGAAAGCTGTCTCTGGTGTGGACCAATAAGTTTCAAGGACAATGCATAAATTATCAGAGTATTGTTTTTTGTTTGCATTTGACTGCAAGTATTGTGGTTAATGTAAGCATGGTTCCTTGCAAAAGGTGTCAGTTTTGTTGCCAGAAAAAAAGTGGAAAAACCCTATTAGTATACTTAGTTTAGCTGTCATCAATTATATTATTTAAAAACTACCTATTCGGCTGCAATTGCAGGTTTGTGTATCAAGTATCTAAGCAGGTTAACTTATACAAATCCCATCGTGCCGTGAAAAACTTACCAACTTCGTGAGCGTGCTAATCTCTGCAAGAACCCAGTCCGGGCAATCTCGATCTCCAGAAAACCGAAACCTCTGTGCGCAAACACATCAAACAACAACATTGTGATGGACCGAGTTGCTTAGACAAAATCTGAAGCAATTGAATGATTAAGTTATACAACTACACGCAATGAATTATAGTTGAATACATGGTAACTTGGTAAATGTGCATATATTCACTTACGCAAAATTGGCCAAAATTCAACAGAATAAACACAATTCACAAGCACTAACATCTTTGGACTTTAAACACCTCATATTATCTCTCTATTTTATTATAACACACTTTCTATTAACTCACTCTGTGTCTGTTGTCGTATCCTCAAATCTTGTAACTCAATTTTAACCAACTTCCCAATGTGGTATCGACTGCAAACTTGGTATACTTATGTCATACTGATGACAATAATAAATTCTATCATAAAAAATAAAAAAAATATTTTTAAACAATCTTTTTACACGCTTTCCATTAACTCACTCTGTCTGTTGTTATATCCTCAAATATTGTAACTCAATTTTAACCCACTTCCCAATGTGGTATTGACTGCAAACTTCGTATATTTACGTCTTACTGATGACAATACTATATTATATCATTTAAAACAATATATTTAAACCATCTTTTTTACATGCTATGTTTCGGCTTGGGTCTAATTGTCCACGCTCAACTCACGTTGACGGAAATCACCACGGCCCCTTACGTTATGGCAAGCTTCGGGGGCACTTCCTGCAAAGGTGGAGTTCTTCCATTACTAGTACGGTACATTTCATACTGGTAGGAACCTCCTGGTTACACCAGCCCACAGCGGATTATTGTGTCCGTCCGTTCGTCGTGCATCCAAAAATGAAAAATGGGAGGGGTGAGGCTGGGTGGGGAGGGGTGGGGCTGGGAGGGGTGGGGCTTTGTGGGAGGGGAGGGGTGGGGCTGGGTGGGGCTGGGTGAGGAGGGGCTGGTCACCCCGTGGTGCCCTTATAAAACTCAACATTTAACCTACTCACGCCGACTTGTGCCCGCCCTCACAGTTGGCCATATTTGCGGAATACACCACGCCGCCGTTGACCCTGGCCATTGATCGAGCAACCCAACGTTCCTACCAGCTCCCTCCGCAGGAATGTGTTTAAAGCGTGTTTTTAAAAAAAAGTTGTTTTTAAATCCTTTATATTAAGTTCACTTGCTTGCTTGCTTACGACCGTGCTAATCTTTCGGTCGTTTTTTAACCCACTTCCCGTGATCCAATCGAGCTGACATTTTGCACACAGACTCGTTGTGCGAGACAATTAATGTTCGTGAAATTTTTTTTCCAAAATTTGACACTTTTTAGGACAAAAATATTACATTTAATTACCAATTGCTTAATGGTGCAATGCAATCATCTGACCCATAGGTGGCAGCCATCTCAAGCCAGAGGACGAGAGGACTCTAGTCGCCACGCATATAAAGGATTTATAGTGAAAAACTTTGTTTTTACGGGTTATACTTGTTAATATTACTTATTGCTGGGGAAGCGGACCCAGCTCCATGCCACCACCACCCCCCGTGGTGGCGGCGGAGGAACCCGGAGCAGTCGGGAGCGGGCGAGCGGCACACGCAGCTCACCATTGTGGCCGAGCAGGAAGAGCACGGGCTGACGCCAGGGGCTGTCTCCCTGTGTCGTCTCTCGGTCTCGCTGTGTCTCTCTGCCTGTGTCTCTCTGTGTCCCTGTGTCTCTCTGTCTGTGTCTCACTCTGGGTCTCCCTGTGTCTCGGTCTCCCTGTGTCTCTGTCTGTCTCCCTGTGTCTCTCTGTGTCTCTGTGTCTCTCTGTCTCCCTGTGTATCTCTGTCTCCCTGTGTCTGTCTGTCTCCCTGTGTCTCTCTGTCTGTCTCCCTGTGTCTCTGTCTGTCTCTCTGTCTGTCTCCCTGTGTCTTTCTGTCTCCCTGTGTCTCTGTCTGTCTCCCTGTGTCTCTGTCTGTCTCTCTGTCTGTCTCCCTGTGTCTTTCTGTCTCCCTGTGTCTCTGTCTGTCTCCCTGTGTCTCTGTCTGTCTCTCTGTCTCTGTGTCTGTCTGTCTCCCTGTGTCTCTCTGTCTGTCTCCCTGTGTCTCTGTCTGTCTCTGTCTCCCTCTCCCCGTGTCTTTCTGTCTCCCTGCGTCTCTGTCTGTCTCCCTGTGTCTCTGTCTGTCTCTCTGTCTCCCTGTGTCTTTCTGTCTCCCTGTGTCTCTGTCTGTCTCCCTGTGTCTCTGTCTGTCTCTCTGTCTGTCTCCCTGTGTCTTTCTGTCTCCCTGTGTCTCTGTCTGTCTCCCTGTGTCTCTGTCTGTCTCTCTGTCTGTCTCCCTGTGTCTCTGTCTCCCTGTGTCTCTGTCTGTCTCCCTGTGTCTCTGTCTGTCTCCCTGTGTCTCTGTCTGTCTCCCTGTGTATCTGCCGCCTCGGCGAGGGGATCACGTGACTCGCTCACGTGACGCGATGGACGGTGGCTGCGCGGCTCCAGTTGCGGTGGGGGGGGGGGGAGACCGCGATTTCGTTTACGTGGAGGCCCTGTTCCTCTCCATAATTTACTTTAAAAAAATAGGTGAATTAGCAAGACAAAGACCTCGCGTGCAACCTTCAACATGGCCTGCAATGTATAAGCTACACGGGGAGGTATTTTTTTTAGCCTTTTCAGATCAAATACGCGAATTGAATTGGTTTAAATTGGTTTTCGCAAAGTTAACCGGAACCGAACCCCTTGAAATCTATTGTGAGCTATACTCGGTTAAAGCGGTTTTCGGTGCACTGAACCGCACGCAAAAAAAACAATCGGTTCCACTTCTTTGGAGCTTCCAGTTTAGCTGGTAAGGCACGCCGCGTGAAGACGCGGTCTAATACGGTGCTGACGGGCAGGACACTTCAAGGCACGGGCTCACACTGACTCAGCTGGCTTTGCTGACTCAGTGGTGGCACGGGCTCACACTGACTCAGCTGACTTTGCTGACTCAGTGGTGGCACGGGCTCACACTGACTCAGCTGACTTTGCTGGGTCAGTGGTGGCACGGGCTCACACCGACTCAGCTGACTTTGCTGGGTCAGTGGTGGCACAGGCTCACAATGACTCAGCTGACTTTGCTGACTCAGTGGTGGCACGGGCTCACACCGACTCAACTGACTTTGCTGGTTCAGTGGTGGCACGGGCTCACACTGACTCAGCTGACTTTGCTGGCACAGTGGTGGCACGGGCTCACACTGACTCAGCTGACTGCGGGCTCAGTGGTGGCACGGGCTCACGCTGACTCAGCTGACTGCGGGCTCAGTGGTGACACGGGCTCACAATGACTCACCTGACTTTGCTGGTTCAGTGATGGCACGGGCTCACACTGACTCACCTGACTTTGCTGGTTCAGTGGTGGCACGGGCTCACACTGACTCAGCTGACTTTGCTGGTTCAGTGGTGGCACGGGCTCACACTGACTCAGCTGACTTTGCTGGTTCAGTGGTGGCACGGGCTCACACTGACTCAGCTGACTTTGCTGGTTCAGTGGTGGCACGGGCTCACACTGACTCAACTGACTTTGCTGGTTCAGTGGTGACACGGGCTCACACTGACTCAGCTGACTTTGCTGGTTCAGTGGTGGCACGGGCTCACACTGACTCAGCTGACTTTGCTGACTCAGTGGTGACACGGGCTCACAGTGACTCAACTGACTTTGCTGGTTCAGTGGTGGCACGGGCTCACAATGACTCCGCTGACTTTGCTGGTTCAGTGGTGGCACGGGCTCACACTGACTCAGCTGACTTTGCTGGTTCAGTGGTGGCACGGGCTTACACTGACTCAGCTGACTTTGCTGGTTCAGTGGTGGCACGGGCTCACACTGACTCAGCTGACTTTGCTGGTCCAGTGGTGGCACGGGCTCACACTGACTCAGCTGACTTTGCTGGTTCAGTGGTGGCACGGGCTCACACTGACTCAGCTGACTTTGCTGGTTCAGTGGTGGCACGGGCTCACACTGACTCAACTGACTTTGCTGGCTGAGTGGTGACACGGGCTCACACTGACTCAGCTGACTTTGCTGGTTCAGTGGTGGCACGGGCTCACACTGACTCAGCTGACTTTGCTGGTTCAGTGGTGGCACGGGCTCACACTGACTCAACTGACTTTGTGGGCTCAGTGGTGACACGGGCTTACACTGACTCAACTGACTTTGGTGGTTCAGTGGTGGCACGGGCTCACAATGACTCAACTAACTCAGCTGACTTTGCTGGTTCAGTGGTGGCACGGACTCACACTGACTCAGCTGACTTTGCTGACTCAGTGGTGGCACGTGCTCACAATGACTCAGCTGATTTTGCTGACTCAGTGGTGGCACGGGCTCACACTGACTCAACTGACTTTGCTGGTTCAGTGGTGGCACGGGCTCACACTGACTCAGCTGACTTTGCTGGTTCAGTGGTGGCACGGGCTCACACTGACTCAACTGACTTTGCTGGCTGAGTGGTGACACGGGCTCACACTGACTCAGCTGACTTTGCTGACTCAGTGGTGATACGGGCTCACACTGACTCAGCTGACTTTGCTGACTCAGTGGTGACACGGGCTCACACTGACTCAACTGACTTTGCTGACTCAGTGGTGACACGGGCTCACACTGACTCAGCTGACTTTGCTGACTCAGTGGTGACACGGGCTCACACTGACTCAGCTGACTTTGCTGGTTCAGTGGTGGCACGGGCTCACACTGACTCAGCTGACTTTGCTGGTTCAGTGGTGGCACGGGCTCACACTGACTCAACTGACTTTGTGGGCTCAGTGGTGACACGGGCTCACACTGACTCAGCTGACTTTGGTGGTTCAGTGGTGGCACGGGCTCACAATGACTCAACTAACTCAGCTGACTTTGCTGGTTCAGTGGTGGCACGGACTCACACTGACTCAGCTGACTTTGCTGACTCAGTGGTGGCACGGGCTCACACTGACTCAACTGACTTTGCTGGTTCAGTGGTGGCACGGGCTCACACTGACTCAGCTGACTTTGCTGACTCAGTGGTGGCACGGGCTCACACTGACTCAACTGACTTTGGCTGTTTGACCTTCAGTGCGTCCCGGCCGTGACGTCACTCGCAGCCGTCCAATCACCGCGCAGCTTGCCGCGAGCAGGAAGTGGCGGAGCTTGCGGCGGCTGAGCAATGGCTGCGTCCGCTCGCGTTGTGCAGGTGAGTGGTGGTGGTGAGGGTGGTGAGGGTGACTAGGGTGACTAGGGTGGTGAGTGGTGGTGAGTGGTGGTGAGTGGTGGTGAGGGTGGTGAGGGTGGTGAGGGGTGACTGGGGTGGTGAGGGGGGTGGTGAGGGGTGACTAGGGTGGTGAGGGTGGTGAGTGGTGGTGAGTGGTGGTGAGGGTGACTAGGGTGGTGAGGGATGACTAGGGTGGTGAGGGTGGTGAGTGGTGGTGAGGGTGACTAGGGTGGTGAGGGGTGGTGAGGGATGACTAGGGTGGTGAGGGGTGGTGAGGGTGGTGAGGGTGGTGAGTGGTGGTGAGGGGTGACTAGTTTGGTGAAGGGTGACTAGGGTGGTGAGGGGTGGTGAGGGTGGTGGTGAGGGTGGTGAGGGGTGACTAGGGTGGTGAGGGTGGTGAGGGGGGTGGTGAGGGGTGACTAGGGTGGTGAGGGTGGTGAGGGGTGGTGAGGGTGGTGAGGGGTGACTAGGGTGGTGAGGGGTGGCTAATGTGGTGAGGGTGGTGATGGTGGTGAGGGGTGGTGAGGGGTGACTAGGGTGGTGAGGGGTGGTGAGGGTGGTGGTGAGGGTGGTGAGGGTGGTGAGGGGTGACTAGGGTGGTGAGGGGTGGTGAGGGGGGGTGAGGGGTGGTGAGGGGTGACTAGGGTGGTGAGGGTGGTGAGGGGTGGTGAGGGGTGGTGAGGGGTGACTAGGGTGGTGAGGGGTGGCTAAGGTGGTGAGGGTGGTGATGGTGGTAAGGGGTGGTGAGGGGTGACTAGGGTGGTGAGGGGTGGCTAGGGTGGTGAGGGGTGGTGAAGGTGGTGAGGGTGACTAGGGTGGTGAGGGGTGGCTAGGGTGGTGAGGGGTGGCGAAGGTGGTGAGGGGTGGTGAGGGGTGACGAGGCTGGTGAGGGATGACTAGGGTGGTGAGGGGGGTGAAGGTGGTGAGGGTGACTAGGGTGGTGAGGGTGACTAGGGTGTTGAGGGGTGGTGAGGGGTGATGAGGGGTCTGTGATACGTGACGAGGATGTGCGTCTCTTATTCCATTTCTTACGGCAATTTGTTCACGTGCCAAACTCCAGTGTCACAATGTCTGCTAACCGCAACGAGGGGAATGATACATGCCTGCAATTTGCTCTCCAGACTTGTAGCGGTTTTACTTTTCGGTCAATCGCGAGAGGCGATGAGGGTGACGAGGGTGGTGAGGGGTGGTGAGGGGTGGGTTCCTGGGTCATGCGGGTGCCCTGCGTGACCCCTCGGTCGTGTTGGGGCTTGTTGTGCCCCCCCCACCCACCCACACTTCTGCCCATTGCCGTGGCGCTCCGCTTCTGCCGAGACGAACTTCACTCGCGACAACAACAACAACAAACAACAACCATCGCCCAAAGATTGTCGGGGGGCCTTGGAAGTTCGCGTCGGTGATATCGGCTGTGTCGAGATCAGCGTGGGCAAGGCGCGGTGCAGCGAGCGGCAGCAGCTTTTTGTTGTTACATCGCGAACAATTTGTCCTGTCATTGTGTAAATCCATGAGCTCCGGTTTGTGATGAACGTTTTTGTAACTTTTTTTCTTCTCTCCCTCCGCGGTAGTTACGCATATCGGCAATGCATGGCGTGGTGGTACATGTGCAGGTTTCATCACACTCGGGGAGAGAGACTGACTGCGGTGGGTTGTGCGTGAAGATTGCACAATCGCTGAGATTCACCACTGCCTGGCGGCCCGTGTTAGATGCCAGGGCATCAGGAGACACTCTGTGAGGTTCTGTAACTTCATGGAACGTCGGCGTAGTTTATTGATGTAGGGCAGGGGTGAGGGAACGTCCGGCCAGCTGGGCCATATGAGGCCCACGAAATTATTTTGTGTGGCCCTGCCAAGATAACCGCAGGCAGGATTCGAAATTCAATAAATCTCGGAGCGAACCTGGAAAAGCAGTTGCGAATAGCAGCAACATTATCAACACCAGCGAACATCACACGCCTCGCCAAAGAGAAGCAGTTCCAGCCATCGCATTAGGGGCGAGTCAATTAAAAGTTTGACCAAATATAACAATGGACTAATTTTTAAGTTGATAATTTTGTATGGCCCGCAAATGATGTTATAAATATCCAAATGGCCCTTGGTAGAAAAAGGTTCCCCACCGCTGGTCTAGGGGCTGGCCTGTACACTTTTTAAGACCACGGATTTCTGCAAAGTGTGGTGCGTTTCCTTCCAACTTTTAATATAGACCGAGTGCCTAGTTGGTTTGCTTAATTACAGTGGGTAGTGTTGTCGGTGTTTTAAGCAACGCGTTTTCAAGGTTCTATCTTGCTTCTGAGAAGTAGACGCTTAGGGGAACATGCCTGATCACCGTTAGCAGAATCTCAGGCTACCAATGTGATGAATATATATCCATAGGTTACAGCAGGAGACTTAGGGTGAGGCTTGCTATCTGCATGCTACAATATTCCAACGATGGTACTTTGTTTATGTGGCTTGCTTCAACTCGTTGACGTTGTCGACCGACCGGGTTATCTGTGCTCGAGTATTCATGGATGGTGAAGGAGGTTGAGGGGTCAGCCACATGACTTGTGGCTGCATCGGATTGGCTATTGTTCCTCTTCTTGGTTGTTTCGGTAATAAAATAATAAAAATAAAACATAATAAAATAATTCTCACGACGTTTCGGCCACAACGCAAGCAGCCGTCCTCAGGTGAAGAACAGGTCTGTCGGGAAGACAGCGTCTGAAAGACTGAAAGACGCTGTCTTTCCCTTCTACGTGACTTTACCGAAAGAACCAAGAAGATGAATCCCTGCAGTCACGAAAGCTTTAAATCGAAAAATTGGCTATTGTTGTTGAGACTTGGGGATGGGAGGGGATGCTGTCTTGAGGAAGAGTGATCAATCACACGAGCATGTTGTGAGGCAAGTGATTGGAGATGCTGTAGGTGAGCATAGTGCAGCAAATGGGTGGTGTGGGAAAATAGGAGACGGCACAGATTTGTGTTTAGCAACAAGCAGAGACACGGAACAGAGATGTATGGATTGAGAGACTTTTAAACAACTTTTATTGCCGCCAGCAGCAAAAGCACTGGAGGCGATTTCGATATCAAATACACAAAGTCACCAGCAAACACATGAAAATTAACGCTACTCGCTGTGGCACTAAAAGCACCGCGCACAACACAAAAGAAAAGTCACGTGGTGGTGGTGGTCATCGCGCACGCCACGGTGACGAGCGAGCGCTTCAGAAGGTGAACACGAGGGCGCCGTCCACGCTGGTACAGAGAGGGGCTTTTCCAGCTCCCCAGCGTTCGAAGAAGATGTGCACATCACCGACATGTGTGTGGTATGTGGCGTGCTACAGCCGGAGCCGTGCCTTAAGCAGGCCTCTGAACACTGGAAGCACAGAGCAGCCGTCAGTGTCACCTTCCAGCATATTCTTTCTCATTCTGTACACCGCCATCTTCGCCTGAGCACAGGCGAAGTTGGCGAGGTCATGGCGCTTGTTAGCCAGGTAAGGCACCACCCCATATACGAAGCTGCTGTTGTAGAAGGGTACCCCCAGTTTCCTGAAGATGTCCCCCAAAAGGCGGAACATTGGTTTGAGCCGCTGGCAGTGTAAGTATGGATTGAGAGAAGTCGACAGAGATACCACAGGGAGCTGTATTGAGTGAGGGAAGGAGAGAGACACGTGGCCTGGGGATGTATTGAGATAAGCAAAATCAGCACAAGATAGTAATATAGTGAATTAATTTATTTTATTTTATACCTACGTGACTTCACCGAAAGAACCAAAGAGTAAGCACAAGATAGGTTTCGGAGTGAAGAGAGAAGCTTTGAAGATGCAGTATCAGAGATGGAGTGAGACAGAGGAGAGCATGAGTAGAAGAAATAACCTTTGTGTGACCAGAAATAGCGTTTGCTGGTGCAAATTATTGTTATATTTTATATTTATTGAACGCCTTGGCTCAACGCGATTTACATAGTTTAATAGCGGTAAAAATAGAGTGATTTAGATGGCAAGGGTGGGCAAGGGTCGATGAATGAGTGACGGTAACAGTGGGTACTATCGGGTGATGAAATGGCAAGGGAGGGCCAATTTGAACTTGAGAACGTTATTTCTTTCTTTCAGGGGCACCATTGTGGTGTGACGTTATCTTCCTTGCCTGGTATGCAGGAGGTCGGGGGTTTGGGCCCGACCATGATGCCCGTATATTTGCAGTTTGCATGTTCTCACTGCGGTTGCGTCGATTTTTTTCTCCAGGTCCTCTGGTTTTTTTCCTCCACATTTAGAAACATGCTTTGAGATTATTTTGATTATGTTGCTTCTATAAATTTCCATATGATAAGCCACCTTGTTGAGCTATCATTTGTGGCCAGATTGCTTATGAAAAATAAGTTAATACCTCGGTGGGCTTTGCCTGGTAGGATGGGGATGGTTTGGTTGTATTTGATTGTTTTTGGGCAATTTGTTAGCCTTTCTTTACTTTGCACTCCGATCGTGTTTTTGTGTTGTTTGTTTTAACGTTCATACCCAGCCCTACCGGACTCTGTGAAAAAGAGCTTTATAGCTCATCAGATTCTTCCAGCATAAAACACATTCCTGTGGAGGGAGCTGGTAGGAACGTTGGGTTGCTCGGTCAATGGCCAGGGTCAACGGCGGCGTGGTGTATTCCGCAAATATGGCCGACTGTGAGGGCGGGCACAAGCCGGCGTGAGTAGGTTAAACGTTGAGTTTTATAAGGGCACCACGGGGTGACCAGCCCCTCCCCACCCAGCCCCACCCCTCCCACCCCCCACCCAGCCTCACCCTCCCCACCCAGCCCCTCCCTGCACGACGGACGGACACAATAATCCCCTGTGGGCTGGTGTAACCAGGAGGTTCCTACCAGTATAAATATTCTGATTCAGATGAGCGATAGTAAGTAATTATTTTTTGCAGATTCGTGATCTGCAAGAAATTTTGTGATGAGAGACTGGTAAAGAGCATGAGCCTGGGCCGAGGGATAAGCTCCAGTTTTCCAGATTTTCTGCAGAATATTATGGGGCTACAGTGTTTTAAATATATGTGATGTTTTCACTTTTTCACAGTTGGTCACACCGCGTATTCCGCTGATCAAGTTTCGTAGCAGAAATCCTGCCACAGTTTCTAATGGTAAGTTTGCAATTTTTATCTGCTCTTTTTTCTAATTACAAGGTAAAAAGAAAGATATGTTTCAGTCATAACATACATCTTCGTTTATTTGCATGAAGCTTAGGAAACTGCCAATGGATAGCCAGATTTCTGTGGCTTAAATATTATTGAAATGTGTTGTTGCTCTGGTGACCGGCAGATTGATGATCGATGTTCGGTCGCCGCGTTGATAGCATTGGTTGTGATTTCTCACTTAACAAAATGGGCCGCATGAAGGCTGCCATCTTACACGCCAATTTTGGAATAAAACCCTATATTAAAATAAGCATTTACGGGTTATTTGTCTTTTTCACTTTTACGATGTCTGCACAAAATCTAGGAATTGGTTTCCCTTAAACCTATACCTAATTGGAAATTGTGAAGACATCACTACTGCTACTGTAGTAAAGGTGACCTTTATCATTGTCCATTTTTGTATGAAGTCAGTATTTAAAAACACCTTTTTTCCCCCATTTAACAATGAGCAAGATTAGTCAATTGTGGTTCCACCTAAAACAAAGTAAACAAGTGTTTGCAGAATATTTTTCATGGTGCCGATACAATATACATTTTTTTATGGTATGACACTAATCACAATATCAGTTTCTCATGAGATTGTAATTGTATTTTACTATTTTATTGTTTTGTTTTTTGTGATTTGCTGTACAAAGGTCTTCATCTGCAGTCAGTCGACATAATTTTGTTATAAAAATATTAATACAAATTTACAACCGGAATAATGAAATTAGGTTTTTCCCTTTTTTTCTGGCAACAAAGCAGGAGTGAAGTTGTTAAAACACCAAACTGAAACCTTTTACAAGGAATCATGTCTGCATTAACCACAATACTTGTGGTCAGAATGCAAACAAAGAACATACTCTGATAAGAAATGCACTGTCTTTGAAACTGATTGGTCCACACCAGAGACAGCTTTCTTTGGAGCCTCGACTAGGGGAAAACCTATTCTCATATTTTGGTACTGATGTAGCTGCTCAACCTATAATAATTATAATGTACAGGTAGTCCTCTACTTATGATGGAGATGTGTTACGATGACCCCATCGTAAGTCGAAAATATCGTAAGTAGAAGATGGCCTAGCCTACCCAGGAGTCTTAAAGAATGGTGATAATTTAGCAAAACAGAGCAATTTACAGTACCGTAATGTATAAACTATATACTGTGTGTATTTATTAATTACAATACTGTATTGCACAGTAAAATGTAAAGTAAAAAAAACAAGGTAAATTCTTAGCCTACCTATATGACCTACAATTTAATAGAAAGTTTTTTCAGGAAACAATCCCGGCAGCGGCCCAACGTACAGTATCGTACCTCGTGCGCTGCTGCGTTTGCCTGCCGCGCGAAATGTATAATATTTTACAATTTTGTCGTATCGCCATCGTAAGATCGAAATATCGTAAGTCGGACCGTCGTAACTCGGGGACTATCTGTACATACTGTCAGTTTCACGTAAAATAGTTAAATAAAATAAATGTCCAATGGCATGAATTATTTTGGACAACATTATTCATAGCACTCATTTATTGGGCAATAGGTATTTAGTTAGAACTTAAATTGTTGTGCTTTTGTTATTTAAGACTTGTTTTGTTACACATTTAATGTCAACGGAATTATATGCTTGATATAATGATATGTTGTAAAATAGATGAGGCAGGAGATGAAAGTTATGGCGTTAAGAGGTTATCTGCAATTCGTTTTGACCTCTCTTTGTCTGTGTTGAAGTGCAAGACGTTAGATGCGAATGTATACAATATATATATTTTTTTATATTTATGTGTGTGTACAATTATATTACGTGTGTGTGTAGCAATGAGTGCATCCTACACGTCCTTGGTAATCTCCGCTATGGAGTTCCTTGCATATCAGGATACGATTTACATTACATATTTAGTAGTTTTCCTAGTTGTTTCTTATCTATGGGACAGTTTTTTTTTGCCAGATTCACAATGCTGAATGCATACATTATCAAAGCACCTTTATTCGCATGTTTCACCACAAGCATGTGTAGTTAATGCAGACTTGATGCTGTGTAATAATAGGGTGTCTATTTGGGTCTAGATTTGAAGTTTTCGTGACTGCAAGGATCCATACTCTTTGGTTCTTTCGGTAAAGTCACGTATGTGAAATAAAAATAATAAAAATAATAAATAATAAACTAAAAATGAAAATAACTAAATTAAATCACGACGTTTCGGAAGCAACACAAGCCTCCGTCATCAGGAGGACAGTCACCAATGTGACTTTACCGAAAGAACCAAGGAGTTTATCTATTTGGTATTTGGACATCTCCTGTATTACTTCCGATATTTCAATGTTTACCCATTTAACTTGTCCTAGGAGTGTGTTACTTAATTACTCTCCTTCAACACTGTTACCTTGATTCTAGATTTGAAGCTTTCGTGACTGCAAGGATTCATATTCTTAGGTTTTTTCCGGTAAAGTCACGTAGGTAAAACATCAAAATTAATAAAAATAAAATAAAGATCACGACGTTTCGGAGGCAACACAAGTATCCGTCATCAGGTGGGACCGTCACAGCCAGATTAGCTGCATCAAGTGAGGCAATGATTCAAGATGTAATCCCTTAAAAGCGAGTTGAGGGGGGAGGAGAGGGGGGGGCTCATCAGAATGTGGTAGCCAATGAATACCGAAAAAACCTAAGAATACTGTTACCTTGCTTTTCTGTACCGTTTATTGGATTAAATTCTCCTTTTACGCGCGTTCCAAATTTAAAGACTTGGCAATCTTATTTTCAAACTTTGAAGCTCGGCCACCCCTCTTGAGGAAACATTAAAAATGACATTGCCAATCGTGATAGTGACGATGTACATTTTGTTTATGGCAACAAAATGTTTTCCCCATGATGATCAAAACTCTTGGTCATTTTACTCCACTACCAATGACTATTTTAGAGATAAACATGATGCAGCTAAGACTTTCCTTATTCGGTAAAGTCACGTAGGTAAAAAATATATGAAAAAACAACTGAATTAAATCACGACGTGGAACCGTCACAGCAAATTAACCTAAAGACGGAATCTTGTGTTGCCTCCGAAACTTCGTGATTTAATTTAGTTGTTTTTTCATTTATTTTTTTACCTACGTGACTTTACCGAAAAGACCAAAGAGTATGAATCCTTGTAGTCACGAAAACTTCAAATCTAGAATTAACTTTCTTTATTACTGCTCATTCAGTGGTGTTTCTTGTCTATTTCTATGCGTGCACTTGAATGTAAATGCATTATGTATAAGCTTGGTTTGTTTTTACAGCTCAGGAATTGGGAAAGACTGCCATCGATCTGGTAGGCGCAGCCAGACCCATGGCGGTGAAGAGTCTGCCAATGGAAACACTCGAACCGCTGCCTCCACGTTTCCGGCGCAAGCCCCTCGACACGATTGAAATGGAATACATTCAGGTTTGTGTAACACATTAAACCTATCAACAGCAAAGCATTTTGAGGTTATTATTTTGCCGTTTCATTGTTCCCAGTTGTAAACAGTGCAACGTGATATTTCAGCATTATTTTAAGTGTTATTTTCAATGTTCAGTATAATTTTGCTTGTTTTTCTCAATAACCATTTTCTACCCGTTCCACAGCGAGGCGGTCCAGATTGAGAGAAATGCACGCACCATTACTTGGTGGTTGCTGAAGATAAAAAGAGAGGACTGAAATGGATCACCACATCCAGCACATGCTGCTTAGACTTGTGGCAAGAGCCAAAGTCATACATTAAACTTCTGCATAACTTACAAACATGAAGTGTACTGTTATACAAGACACATTCTTATGTCACCTGAGTCTAAGCATATGCACCAATATATCTATTAAATGATGAGATTACTCAGAATTGCATTTTGTGGGAACTGATATTTTTCTTTTTGGGTTTCAGTGACATGGCCATTTTTATTTTTTCTGTTTCTTAATTTGGGCCCATTTGAACGTATTAACAAAAATGTATTTTCCTGCATTACCTAATAAAGTTAATATATATATAAAGCAGAGGTACCCTTTTTGCCATTTACTATGAAGTAAACATTTCTTTGTAAATTGCCTCTGTTTTATTTATGGTAATTATCAAAATAATTTCAATTTTAATATTCGTGTTATAAAAGTTATATAATGCTTAATGAGTGACAAACGAGCGGTGACAATTTCTCGTTAATCAAACATTTGTTAAACGGTCATCGTTTTTACATTGACTCCCATGTTCAAAGCTGAGTTACTTTTCAGCCCCCAAATTTTCCACCCTTTAATTTTATTAGTTTGAGAAATCCAAATTATATTTAAAAATCAAATATCAAATGTACCGCTCGCCACACATTAACTAATTAGCGCCGCCACCCCCCACCCATGTTCAACATGACACCCATGCACTCATTACACGCACAGTCCGTGCCACAAATGAACCCACAATACCTTGCTGATCTCGGCAAGGAGCATAAAGCATCACGTGAACTCCGGTCATCCTCGCAGCGGCTTTTGGCTCGCCATCGAACAAAGATGGCTACTGCATCACACTCGGATGAGTTTCTGTGGCTGTTTGGAACGCTCTTCCGATACTAGGAAGCTACTGCAGCTATGCACTTTTAAATCTAGGTTGAAAATATTTCTTTAGAACTGCTTTTTGTGTTTTTGTTGTCCTTCCCCCGCACCTCTGATTGACACGGTTGTTTACGTACAGTGCGAAAGAAGTTTAATATTCACATACAGGATGCCCACGAATTTAACACGACGCTCAGGCATCCAACACGATGCCGACGCATTCAATGCGACACCCACGCGTTCAACACGCCACCCACGCATGAACTTACTAATTGGGTAGCTGTGAAATGTGTTGATCCCTCATTGGCCACTTCTGACCTTAGGTCATAGTGGTGACGTCTACTCGCAGAATGGAAATGCTGCGTGTAAACACAATTGTTTGGTAGCTCTGCTGCATTGGCAGTAGGGCTCAAGCACAAATAACAAAACACAATTGTGAAAAACACTGCCTTTAAATAACACATTCCTGCGGAGGGAGCTGGTAGGAACGTTGAGTTGCTCGTCAATGGCCATGGACAACGGCGGCGTGGTGTATTCCGCAAATATGGCCGACTGTGAGGGCGGGCACAAGCCGGCGTGAGTAGGTTAAACATTGATAAGGGCACCACGGGGTGACCAGCCCTAAAGTAAAGCTAGTATACATATGACAAGCGGATGGTCAGTGAGCAGATTAGCTCCACGTTTGGTCCTGGTGTCAAGAGCATGAGCCCGTTTTTCGCTGTTCTGTCACGATATCGTCCCGCAGATGCTCTTCCTTGGACCCAGCATGCATCCATAATACGCCGATGCTAGAATAGTGTATTAGCGATGACAGGCTGATGGGCTGCACAGAAGTTTATCAGCCCCTGCTGATCTGACCCATGCCTTCCAATAACTTTGGCCCAGGTGCCTGCGTTATGACCCACTCAAGGCATTAAAATCACCCACCAAGATGGCTCTATCCCTACGGGTCAATTTATCCAGCACCTGGGGCAGCATGTCATAGAAGGTACAACTGCGATTGTGCCAGGATAGGTGCACTTTGAGGCCACGTGACGTGTCAAATGACGAAATGTGCAGTCGACACATACGTACTCTCTGCCCATGGATCGTGATGATGAAGTGTCAAATGCTGGGAGATGCATCAACTTGCTGAAGTTTAGCCACCCAGCACTCTGTTGATTGTTGTGAGCATCACTGCCGTCCATTGTTGTAATGGGACTGCCTACAACTGCCTCGTAGTGTCACGTGTACACAATCGGATTCAATTACTCTCCCCTCTACAATAATGCGCTCTTATAAATACACACAGACACATACAATGCACACAGACACTGCCACATTCGCATACAGACTTTCCTACACAAAGTCACACTCGGTAAGTACAGGCGTGTCTCGCTTAACGAGCGAGATACGTTCGGCGAAAATTTCTCGGCAAGTGAAAAGTGAAAACTGGTTCAACGATCGTTTTCCAAATGACTCCTCCCCATGTTCAAAGCTCACCTACGTGTCAGCCCCCCCAAAAAATTCAACTCTTGAACAACTTTTGAATGCGAAAACTGCCAATAATAATAATAATTTAAAAATAAAGTAATACATAAAATGTAACAACACACATGAAGAACTCCAGTTCAAGATCCCCCCCATATAACCAGAACAGACTGTTGGGGCAAGTGCTGTTCGCAGGCACCTATGAAGGCCAGCACGCACGAGTTGGCGAGGTTTACACCCCGTACCAGGTACTCATTTGAGGCTGAGTTTACCTCGGGGGAGGCCCAGGAATGGTTCAGAGAATCATCACTGGTATTGGCCATGAGCGGGAATCGATCTCGGGTGGCTGGGTTCGCAGTGCTGCGAACGAGCCCTTCCACCACCGCTCCCCACACGCACTCCATTAGTGTCACCACGTGGCACCTTTCACTCCACACGGCCAAACTCGTGCGCACTCAGCACAGCTGCTGAACATCTGCAGGCCACCGTGCGCCCCCTGCCACCACGAGGACGCATATTCATCGATTGGTCTGGACCCGATAAGCAAACGTTCTGCTCGTTGTGCGGACAGAACTGGCCCTAGACCTTTGGGGGCCCTAAGCAAAATTTGGTTGGAGGCCCCTTTGATGTATGATTTTTTTTCACCCACTAGCTAGCAGTGACTCTAGGGGGCCCTCTGCTGGCCACGGGGCCCTTTGCAATTGCAAGGGTCGCTTAGTGGCTGGGCCGGCTCTGTGCGAACAAATGGGTCTGAATTCAAATTGCTCATAGAAAGAATGCTTGTAAAGCGAGACGCGCATGTAGCATTAAGTGTTCGTGAATCACATCCCACAATACTGGTCCTCACTTTTCTCCGGTGGCTCTTGGCTAAATCAGGAAGGATTGGTTTTTAGCATCCTAAATGGTCTTGTTACAGCTAATATCTTAATGGTGAATCCCGCAGTAAAGCTCTAAAGTATAGCAGGCCGTTCCTTGCTATCCCTAAAATATGGTTTCCCTAGATTTGAAGCTTTCGTGACTGCAAGGATTCATATTCTTAGGTTTTTTCAGTAAAGTCACGTAGGTAAAAAATTTAAATTAATAAAAGTAAAATAAAATAAAAATCACGACATGTTGCCTCCGAAACGTCGTGATTTTTATTTTACTTTTATTAATTTTAATTTTTTACCTACGTGACTTTACCGAAAAAACCTAAGAATATGGTTTCCCTTTCCTGCATTGTCCATTCCCTTATTTTAGTACAGTTGTAAGACTCTGCTTTTATCCTCTGCATTCGATTCAAAAGTTACCTCTTCAATAACAATTAATTTCCCCACCTCTTCCTCGCGTGCAGTGGCGGCTCCTAATAATTTGCTTATTTAGCCCTAACTACAACATATAGACGTTACATTTAATTAAGTAAATTATTAATCACACTTTAATTACATTCACACTTAAATGGTACGATATATTTATCCTCTCTATATATATAGAAGGGCAATTTGTGATTGTGTGTCTGTTCAAAATGTTTAGCGTACTTCCCGACATGCAACAAACTTTAAATTTGCCATGTGGGTACTTTCCAGACTATACACCATGCAAAAAATATAAAAATAGACTTTTGTTTATTTTTGGGGGGGGGGGGGGCTCAATAATGCATCTAGTTTTGCACGGCAAGTGAGCTGTGACGTCACATCTCTGCCATGTGACCCGCGCATGCGACCCGAGTTCGATTTCCGCTCACGGCCACCACCGGTGACGATTATTTGAACCGGTCCTGGGCCTCCCCTAGGTCGACTCAGCCTCAAACGAGTAACTGGTGTGGTGTGTGAACATCGCCACTGGGGAGACGAAAGCGGCCAGGCGTGGTGAATCCAAGTCCCGGGCGAAGCCGGGTAGTAAAGCTAGTAGTTAATAAAACTAACTAAATAAAACAAAATTAAATAAATCACAACAGTTTAAGCCGAGTCACCATCACCATGTAACAGAAGGGCGGTTGAGGTTCACTAGATGTGGAATTCTTTTGATAGCGATGGGCTTGAATAATTTAGTCTTTTTGTATAGTGGAATTATTTTCATAGCGATGGGCTTGAATAATTTTGTCTTTTTGTAAAATGTGATGCATTTTTCTTGTTCTCCTGTTTCCCGTGTTCCTACATTTCTGCCACCTCCACTGGCAGTCACCACGTCTGCATTCAAACCTCCCTACTTACACACACGTGGCTCCCAGACAAGGCCTCATTAAAGCCTACATCTCATCCCTTTCTGTTCCATCTCCCACAGAAAGACTATACGTGTCATGTACATGTATTTTGAATAAAACACTCCTCTCGCTTCTATAGACTTCACTTTCCGTGCTCATAACCTGGGTCAATGCAATTTCAGTCGAGGCCATTCCAAAAAGACCCCCCCTCCTCCCAACCCTCCTTTGCGTGATCAACAACCTCATTCGCTCCTCAAGGTGTTTCTCTTTCATTTTTCTGCTGGAGCCAACGATGCCTTTGGACGATATAACTGCTTCATTTTCCTTAATCACCTTCAGGGCTGCAACAACCATCACTTACAAACCCAGAGTGCATTGTCATCATGTGATATTCAGTATCAATTTTAGATATAAGGCTCTTTACATACCACGAAGGCAACTGCAAACATATTTAAGATGCCTTTAAAGAAAATAAATACATTTTACTGCACATACGTAACAAATAATGCATAACAGAATGACACGCAATGCAATGAATTGATATAATTTTAATTGATTAATGCAAGTAACATCATCTATTAGGTGCTTATTTTAAAAAAAAGAGGCAATATAAAATTATATAAATGTTTAATTCCATCTTACATTATATATAGATATATGCATGATTTATATAATTAACAAAATTACATTAGCAAACAATACATCGTAAATATTACATTTAATAGCCAATGTAAATATACTGTAAACCATTGATTTCACTGGAAGCTAACCAATGTATTTGTTTTCACAGCACTGGGACACTTTCGATCACCCATTTTTCTCAGGTATGACTACATATTGTGGGTTCTCAAAAACATCTCTTTCCAATTTGATTAGTATACACTCGAGTTGGAGCTGTTGGACTTGCATAGGAAGGGCATGAGAAAAGGCGAATTAAAATGTGAGGCACTCTCTTAACACAATTAAAACAACACTTATTGTTTTATGGTTTTTTCTAAGAAAGCAAAACCCCATTAACATCAGATGTGGAATGCTTGAAAATGTTAAATAATCATCATCCTAAAGTAAGAAATCGTCAGTCGCAATGTAAACAAATATGAACAATGCCAGTGAATGCACGATGAACACGTATTTCTTTCTCCAGCTCCACGCTCAACTTTCAAGGCTGCACATTCATTGGCATAGAGTTGGCAAAGATCGTTAGAGTCATGGGTACACGACGCATACTTTTCCAGCTTGTATAGCAAGAGGATACCCTCCCACTACTAAACCCATTCCTTCCTATGCCAAAAGGTTGATTCATATTCTTGGTTCTTTCGGTAAAGTCACGTAGAAGGGAAATAATAAAATATGAACCAAGAATATGAATCCCTGCAGTCACGAAAGCTTTAAATCGAAAAATAAAAAGGTTGATTATTTGCCAACCCTGTGTCACGGACTGTGATCCTTTTTTGGAGGGGGTGCTTAGGATATAGCATTGGTTGGAGAACCCCACACGAAGACAAACATTACTGCAGTAAAATAAATAGTAGCGCAATACAATATTGATAGACATCTTTGGATTAGGGCAAACGGAAGCAATGAACAAATTTGTGCTTTCACTGTATTTTATCATAATGTGCAAAATACTAAATAATGTTTTAGCCGCTAGATATTTGCCGTGATAAGGGTTTGTTTTTGTTTCAATTAGAGCTGCGGGAGGCATACACCTGAGTTAAATCCCAGCCAGCACCCACTCTACACTGTTTGAGAAAGCCCAGCAAACACATACGCGCTCCTACATCAATCCAATTACGAGCAAAGCCAGATTGAGGAAGCAATAAAGAAAACAAATTAAGACGGCGCTCTATAAAATACTTTGCTAAGGCAACTGAATGGGAAGCCGTTCGCATCCCTGCCACGTCACATGCTTTGGTGCGCATGAAGTCCACTCGTGGCTGATCGGCGGTGTCGGGCTGGAGAAGTGGATTGGTTCCGAGAAGTGCTGCTCAGGGTGGGGCTCAGCGACCGCTGGGGCCGTCCAACTCCGTTTTGTATGAGGCCACCTGCCTCTGTGCTATGATGTAGCGATGTACTGCTGGTGAGCGGGCCGCCGGATGTGCTGTGGAGAGACATCGAGCTGCTCACGTGCAATAGACCGCAGTCAAAACTGTGCTGCGATGGGCTGGGCAAGTGCATCTGCCTTTCCAGGCTGAAGTGGGGTTCCCTGACGTACTGCGATGTTCCGTCCAAACCGAGCTGTCCCGGGGCGATTTCGCACTGCTGCAAAGCCAGGGGCGCATCTTGGCCCGTAGCCATGTGTTGGATCATCGTCTGTGCAATACGCGCGGGCAGCGAGGTGATGCAGTCTGCCATGACTTCGAGCTTGCTCTCCATGGTAGCCAGACGCTTCTCGAACTCCTCGTTCCTCTCGTTGAGATCCGATACGAGATCGTACATCACATTCTGCGTCTGGAATGGAGTCAATGCTGTATTATTAAGGCACAGCGTTCATACGGTCAAAGTAATTAAGCACCAATGTTAATACTTAACACAATAATATTTCAAATTAATTCTGCTTCATACGATTGTCAAGACATCACTATAAATAATATCATCTCTCTAAACTTCATGCAGATAACTCTGTTAGGTGGGGATGATTTAAGAAAAAAAACCAAGCTTGGAAAGTTGTTTGAAACCCAGTCGTCCATTAACTTAGCCAATCATCCCAAGGGTCAACAAAATAACCAATTTGGTGGGGCGTCAACAACAATTGCCCCTATGGAGAGACGCGCAGTCCTCTTGGATAACTCGGTTAGGTCACCGATGCCTGGGCCCTTCGGATTTTAATCGGTGAATAACCGAGTTCACACCTCTCCAGACTAAGACACATGCCCAATCAATCGAATATTGGGGCGTGGAAGGCAGGACACCCAAAACTCTATCCCGCGGCTCTGTGGTGGCTGTGAGTTCTTCGAGTGGTTTCCACTGTCGAAACTGCCAAGCAAACTTGATGCAGTTTTGCTCTAAAGCCAGCCTTGCTGGAAGCTGAAATGTGAGCTAAGCCTTACATTATATCATCGCCAATAACCGCCACTGTTTCATGGCTTGTCCTTCAGTCTTCTTAGCCCTGCAAGTTGCAAGGTGGGTGTCCCGTTCACCACTGAATCTCGGGATGCACAAGCGGTTCAGCATAAATTTCATTTAGAGAGGCATAGCGCCGTTGTTTTTAAAGAAACTGTACTCAACGCAGAGAACTGTAGCGACACGACCGCACTCTATGATAGCTGGCGCCAAATTGTGCCACACGCCCTCCCAACGTGGCCTTGTGGGAGCCTCGGTACCGACAAAGTTATTTTAGTTTATCTTGTGGTTCCGTTCAGATGACATACACATATGTCATCAGAATGGGAGAGAAGTTAAATTGATCCGGGAGGTCCTTTGCAAACAAAAATGCCACATCAAAATGGTAATCTGGCTGTGTTGGGGGGCTGAGGGAAGAAAGTAGGTCAGCTTTCCATTGCTAGAGAACTCTTCCTGCCACCTCATTGGTGGCCACCTCATTGGTGGCAGGAGCGGAGCCCACCTTCGTTAACTTATCCAATCCGGCATCGGCGATAAGTCTAGCAGCTTGGGTCAATTCATCACGACCTTCCAAGCACCCATACTTCATTGCTTCCAGCAATGCCAATGTAAACTTTGTAGTCTATCAACAACAAGGCAACTCCTATGACTAATTGGGAATGGGACGCAAGCGTAGGATTGATCACCCTGTCGCTGGCCGCCTTTGGGGAGGGTGTATAGTATGAAAGCCGAAACACCCTAGGAACCAAAGGTTCACTACTGACGATGCGCTCCCCAAATTTCACCAGGCTCACTGTTCATGAACTCTTGGAAGTGCTTGCACAAAGGATAGTAACATCTCATCCTGTGTTCTTTGGAATCAGAGCAGACACCTATCCGTGTTGCTAGTACTGTAGAGTCATGTCACTGTTGAAGTACTCTCTTGTTAAATATATCTGGTGTTTTCTGGATTGCTGAGCAAAGTACAGAGGAGTAACCACACTAGCAGACCGAAATTATTTTTCATTTAAAAAAGAGATTTAAAAACATTGAACAAAAGTGTTCTCTGCACAGACGTGTACATGACAGAGTTATCCCCTGTCTGAAGCCTTCCCCCTTCTTACAGGTACTTGAGAGGGGTGTGAGGCCACAGGAATATGACTTCCCTGTCTGGTACGGTGCACATACAGGAAGATAACTAAATGTTGTTGTGGTTACTGGCAGGATGCACAGGAATTTGGGGCACCAAAATAAATGAACGCTGCCTTTGAAATGAGCACTCAATTAAGCCAGGAAACACTAAGGGACTTCTTTTGAAATGCAAATGTAGTTTGCCTGATTAAAAGATGGGCTACAGATGCATGCCAATGTCTATTTGGTGTGATTCAATGTGTTTTAATTTCAGTCACATTCCAGGGAGATTTATATTTTCTCTAAGAGAGAACATACAACCAAAGTTATGTTTACGTTTTGCAAATTGATTGGAGTTGTTTGCAAAACCTTGAATATAAGTTACGTCAAAATAAAACAATTAATTACTCTTGTGAATGATGCCGTAAGGTCTGAATTAAAAAATTCCACTTGCATATTTGTAAATGTTAACATCTATTTTATAACAAAGTCCGTAGTGTCTTTAATCATTCATATAAATACCAGGCAGCTGCAGGAAATGAACTTCTAATTTGGTGGAAATTCATCACCAGGGCTAAATTTCAGCCAGGTCTGTCCAGATTTAAGATAAACTATTTGCACATCCGGCACACCACATCTAGTATACCTATCAGAATGGCTGTGGCTGCTAGTCACATGCCTATGCAATTCTAGTAGTAATTACAACTAGCATCATCAGGCGGACAGCTATATTAGTAGAAAAATCCGCCTGTATCGTTCCATACATGTGATGACGTCACTTGTTACGTAATTAATTCCCTTCTAGTTGAACCGTGACAACAAATTTGGAAGAAAAATAGAGTAAAGAAAAATATGATTAGTTTTTAGTGGTGCCATGGCATCTGCTATATACAGGGCGACCCAAATGCTAAACTATAAACTATTTTTTATTTTAGTAGGTAAGGCCCAGAGCTCTTTAGCTCTTTTTCAGAAATGACCTGGCCACAAATGATCGTGCTTATGTGCACATTTATTGTAGCCAATTATTACTCTAAAGGCATGTTTCTAAATGTGGAGGGAAAGACCCACGCGACTTTGGGAGAATACAACAGGCATCAAGGTCGGGATCAAACCCACGACCTCCGGTATACCTGGCAACGTATTTAGCATCTCGCCACCGTGGTGCTCTGGATGCATAGCGCTATTATATTTATGTTAACACTATTTTATCTATTATCATTAGTAATTAAACATTTTCTTCCTCATTTTCAGATGACATTTAAAGATTTGAAAAGTCACTAAATTGAGACAAAATATAATTTATGAACGTTCATAGATGGACATCGGACAGACACCTCCTAAAATTCTAGATTTTATTAATTTTGATGTTTTACCTACGTGACTTTACCGAAAAAACCTAAGAATAAACCTCCTAAAATGTCTTTAACACCGAGAATGCGGCATTAACCTTTTCCCATTCCGAGACGTCTGCAAGTGGCTCAGCGTGAATTTAACTTAGAGAGGCATAGCGCCGTTGTTTTTAAAGACATTGCACTCACCGCAGAGAACTGTAGCGACACGACCGCACTCTATGACAGCTGGCGCCAAAACTGTGCCACACGCCCTGGCCTTGTGAGAGCCTCAGAACTGATCAAAGTTATTACATTTTTTTTCATCTGGTTTCGTTTTGATGACATACACGTGGGTACACGGACGTCATCGGATCGGGAAAAGGTTAATCTCTCTCGCTATTGTAGAGAACATCTTTTGGAAGTCCCATGGACTTAAATCTGGTGAATATTGTGCAGGAGGAAAACCCCTCGCATTCCAGAACTCCACCAGGTCGCGGACATTCCTTCTCACCGTCTGCTCCTTACTGACAATATGGCACCCACTTTGCCATATCCTCTCCTTTTCTCCAAACTTTCAGTCACAATGGCATGGCTCTGTTGACTTGAAAATTCCTGATATAACATACTATTAAGTTGGTTAGTAATAGACTGCCTCGTGCGGAATACCTTCGCCAAGTCCACAAGTGTGTTCGCTTGATCTGTGAGTTTCCTCTGCTCCATCTTTACACTCCGCAGCCTAAAGAAAAATACACATCCACCTTTACTTTCTATAGTCTGAACATAATCACTACTCATCTCATACCATCAGGAAAGAAGGCATTAGAAGCAATATTAGAACTGATATTATTATAACTTAAAAGTAGAAATAATGTCCTAAACCATGTAACAATGTTTTTACAATGATATAACATTAACAGATACTTTACAACTCTTTGTCAATCCATAGCCGGACGAAAGACACCCATGTCGGTCATGGGAATTTCTTGACCATACTTTACCATCCTGGTTAGTAGGGGTTGACATCCAGGGGCCAGGATCATTTCAGATATTACTCACTAATGATGTTAGCTGTGGCCATAAGTTGAACTCAAGTTTCCTAGTTCATTGTGCAGAGCACTGACCACTGTGCCACTGCTCATGTGAACATTCATATTCAATGTTATGAAAATAAAGTAGCAAGACGCAATGTGATATATTACACGCGGGTTAAAAGTCAAATTACCATCATCGGCCATTATTTATTCACTGCTACATGAAAGCCTTCCCACTCTGTCGATTCTCCACAGCCCTGCTTTGATTTGTCCATCTCATGTAAATTACTTAAACGAATTGCTCCATCTCTCTGGCAGTAATCATATCGGTAAAGTCACGTAGGTATTAGAAGACGAGCAAGGCAGCGCTCCACTTCCCCTACCCCATACCCCCCTCTCTATCTCTCTTCCCTTGCTCCCCCCCCTCTCTTACAGACATAGCCTGTCTTGCTGTGGTTGTCCCACGTGATGACGGACGCTTGTGTTGCGCCAAAACGTCGTGATTGATTTTATTTTATACCTACGTGACTTTACCGAAAGAACCAAAGAGTATGGATCCCTGCAGTCACGAAAACATCAAATCTAGATAGTAATCATATCATACATGTTATCACTTTTCAGACGCTGTCTTTCCGACAGACCTGTTCTTCACCTGAGGACGGCTGCTTGCATTGTGGCCGAAACGTCGTGAGAATTGTATTTTATTATGTTTGATTTTTATTATTTTATTATTTCCCTTCTACGTGACTTTACCGAAAGAACCAAGAAGATTATCACTTTTAGTCGTATTTTCATCACTTGTCTTATTGAACAGCCTTTAACAACCCCCTTTAAATGGTAACAGGTGAGGAGGTGCACTTAAACCAAGGTTGTTTATGACAGCAGAAAAATATGCATTTACCATGACAGAAAACAAGTTATCTCTGCTTTGCATTTGTTTGATGATCAATATTTCTGATATTTTTTCTGTGAAGCAATCTGATTCCGATAATTTTTCACTCCGTGGTTTAATGTCTCCTTTCCAGTTTTTGTTCCAGGATCTTTGCGAGTTTTGCAATTATTCTAGAGTTTCTAAAATACATCTCAGAATACCTGGGCAGGTTAAAGTTAATGCACTGGTAAGCCCTTTTTAGAAGAAAAACTCACATTCGTGAGGAAACGAATATCTCTAATATATGAAGTTTCGCCTTCTTCATAGCATACACATTTCTAGAAGAGACTCTTCCAACCAAAGAAATGAGAATGGCATCATCCGGAAGAAAGAGAACTTCAGGAAGAGGTCACGAGGGAGCATCTATCTTGAAGACATGCCGTCTAGATGGAGAGACACGGGTGGCTTGAACGGGGCTCCAGCGTGCTGACCCCAACTTTGGAAACATTTTCCCAGCGTCCACCTGGAGAGCGAGCTGCAGATCACCCCGAGGTCTGCCTGGAGCAACTGTGACTGTCAGGAGTTTGCCTGCGAACAACTTAGAGATTGCTGCTGCCAACGTCAACGCGTGAAGACTTTGGGGCCTGCGGTCAGCATTCGCAATAGAAAATATACTTTGGAGGTGATTCAGCAAGGCATCGTGCATCACCTCATCAAGCACAGCAGTCGCTACATCGTCACGTGCCCTGGACGCTACCTCGTTAGCACCTGGAGAGGCCTGCTGAGCATCATCACATCAGAACCTGGTAATCCCTGAAATTTTTTAGAAAGCATCACCTGGTCAGTGTCTCGATACCTAAAGCAATTGGGACATTGTAACTTCATCTGCGACCAAGTTCTACGAATGCGACCTCGCCATTGCCGCTGTGATCCTGCTACTGCTGCCCTGCAAGTTAAACCACGTCATTGTTTTCTGTGACTTTGGACAGGATTCCTAAGAGTGGAACTTGACACTGGAGCTTCGGGTTTCAGCCCCACCTTGTCAAAAGCATGTGCCTTGAGTTGTCCCGCAAGGACTGTAAGGCACACAACACTAAGGAGACGCTGGCAGCAGCGGAACTATCGTACCATACATCCTGTTCTTGATCTGCATTTCATATTGGAGGGGTAATAATAAAATTCATGACAGTTTGGCATAGGCTGCTGCACCGCAGTGTTATGTTGTGGGTAGTAGTGCAGTCAAATCCACTGCTGTCAGTACAGCTGTCATAGCATATGCTCCCAACCTTAACCAACCCGCACTGACCAGCGGGGCGATGTATGGTTGAAATAACCCCCACAATCCGCAGTGTACGGAGGCCCTCATCCAGCAATAACATTAAAAAACAGATGACATTAAAACACAGGTGACAAACACTGCGACAGGTAACACATGATATTTTCTGTCACTGTCTTTCGACCTCATCTTGTCATTTTAGAACAACATATTTAAATTTAAAAGTATGAAAACACAGAGTTCCCTCAGATCTGATCATATTTCACTGTATTATATTTCGATTTAAAGCTTTCGTGACTGCAGGGATTCATCTTCTTGGTTCTTTCGGTAAAGTCACGTAGAAGGGAAGTAATAAAATAATAAAAATAAAACATAATAAAACAATTTATTATTATGTTTTATTTTTATTATTTTATTACTTCCCTTCTACGTGACTTTACCGAAAGAACCAAGAAGATGTATTATATTTCTTATTTATATTTATCCTCATTCGTAAAACTGCCCATTTGTCTGTGGCCTTGCCTTACAAGGTATTGCTATTGACCTTGGCTTAGAGACACCGAACCTGGACACTGACCTCAGCCTAGAGGATCCAGCCCTGACTGATTTCACCCTAAAGGCTCCAGGCTCTGACCTCGGCTTCTCCTTTGTGGCTTTTGGCCTCGATCTCAGTTTCATGTATTTGGTATAGCCCTTTGAGCCATTTGGCTCTTGAATCGGGTGCAACCGCAACAAACAAAAGACAAAAACATGAACAAGAAAACATCTTAAAGTGACTATGTGCAAACTGAAAATCCAGGAAAAAAGCAAAATATTCCAGAAAAAGCACCGTACACCAACGCTGTGTGTAAAAATCCACAGTGGGATGCAAGTCAAACAACAACAACAACCACAAGACAACTTGGATTAAGGCCATCAGTCTAACTCGTACTACAGCAAACAAACATGGCCGAACCAAAAAAGTTTTCGAAATCACCAAAATAAAGCCATAGAAGCAATGTAACAGTGATCATAGGAACTGTCTTGGCCTCATGAGTCCCGGCCTTGAATCCAAGACTTGCAGAAACCTAATTTAGTGGTGTGTGTGTGTGTGTTTTTTAACAAGAAAGTCTACTGTAGTTTATTTTTTTAATTACAAAATGAAACTAAATTTCGATTTAAAGCTTTTGTGACTGCAGGGATTCATATTCTTGGTTATTTCGGTAAAGTCACGTAGAAGGGAAAAACAATAGAATAAAATAATAAAAATAAAACAATTAAATTCTCACGACGTTTCGATTGCAACACAAGCAATCATGATCATGTGGTTTTCACAACTGATGATGAAACGTCGTGAGAAATGTATTATTATTATTATTTTATTGTTTTTCCCTTCTACGTGACTTTACCGAAAGAAAAATGAAACTAGTTCAGTCAATTAATTTAGTTAAAAAAAATGTACTTTGGTATATAATGGTCTTTATTAAAATGTAGCAAAAACGATTTCATGCAAGCTATTTTTTTCCTGATGACTTTTGAGACGGGTACTCAAGGAACGCCATCGGACGGTGCTGGGAACATCAGTCTCTGAAGCGGAAAATCCCGCGTGACATTCTACAAACATGGGCTACTGGAAAAGAAAGAGGCACATTTGGAAATAAAAAAAGAACATCCAATTTTTAAAAATAATATCTCTGAGTTACTACCTCTTTCATTAGTTTATTGAAAAAAAAACTATCCAATGTATTGGTGCTTTGTTTCATCACACTACATGCTTTTAGCGCATTAAGGTTTAAATTAGGTCAAACAAGGTCCTAAGTTCTTTATCTCTAATAATTATTAGTGCCGTGGTACAATCTCTAATTGTTAATGCTGTATACATCCAAGTCAAGCTTATTTAGTTCATAACCAGGTGAGAACTCAACGACACCAGGAGAGTCTCATTTTAAAAGTGACCCGGGTAATTCCTGTCAATTCATTGGTGCTTTACTATGAAAATAACCAAAGCGAATTCTGGCAACGCATCATAATGAAAAATGAAGCTCGTTAGGTGTTGGATTCATCAGAGACAGAAGAGGCTTACAAATAACGACTGTGGACTTTGTGGATAGCTGGGATCTTTGTCGTGGCACACTAACGGTTAACACAGATCCCATTACTTCTCCCTGGACCGGCTACTCGTTGATGATATGCAGTTCTGGTTAGTTACTTACTGATAAATGGCCTGAAGGAATTTGCGCTGATGCTTGCGGACCCGGGAGTGGTCAATCTTCCGGACGAGTTTGGTGTGCTTGTAAATAAGCCAAGTCTCCCTGAGCACATTTGCTGCTGCATTTTTCACCTGTAAAAAAAAACAGAAGAAAGAGCATCATTATCACTATGCTCACGATGAATGATACCTATCAACCTCCTTTGTCAAGGCTCTCTGCTCCTCCCACCCAGCTTAAAATACGCTGCCAAGCGCTGTCTTTCTGACAGGCTCTGTTCTTCACCTGAGGACGGCTGCTTGCGTTGTGGCCGAAACGTCGTGAGAATTTTATAATGTTGAATTTTTATTATTTTTATTATTCCCTTCTACGTGACTTTACCGAAAGAACCAAGAATATGAATCCCTGCAGTCACGAAAGCTTTAACTCGAAAAATGAATGATACCGTTGGAAACAAAATCTCCAGAATTAGCTCTGCCTTTCTGTAATGGGGGGTCCACATTAATTGTAGTAAAAATAATTCAATATTTATGAAATATTAGTATAAGCTTGTGTTGCTATTAGGGACTTTCCCTACAGAAAACCGACCACATTTATTAAAGGGTTACCCAAAAGTATGGCGATAAAATCAGCACTAAAATAATTCACCTTACTAGCCAAGGCAATGACTTCATTACATGTGATGTCATCTCACATAATGCAGTGCGTAGCCGTGTGATAGCGTCTCGTTGTGCAGATTAAGAATTATGATCGCGCATTAAATTGTACTTCCATGTTAGAAAGAGTTACAGAATTCATGCTTATGCACGATTGCTCTCATCTTAAAACGTAGGTAATTATCGAAGCCAATGCAATGATCAATATTTGTTTTTTAGTTTGGCCACAAAGTAGCTTTCATGCCAATGACAAGAAGGTTGGCATACAATTGGCCTCATGCAAAACCAAAAATGGTTTAAGTTAAGAAAAACAAATATCGATCAGGATTGTTCTTGTTTTTTAAAGACGATAATGGCCTTCTTAGACACCCTTATCACCGGTCATCACATCTGCTATTCATTACTCCATAATCAGCTATTCATAATTTAAATAATTTCCTCATACGCTTTATAACTACCCACATTTATTGTATTAAACAGTGCAATGTCGAAAGTGAAAAATATATTGCTTTAAACTATGTAAATTCGTATCCTGAGCTCTTATGAGCAATAATGATTGTATGCTATTAAGAGTATAACGTGACGAAAGAAAAAATATTAAAGGGTACGGAAGAAATAGCAAAGTAAGCCCATGTAAAAATACAGTGGATTTGCTAAGTTAATTTTAGTATTTAATGACGTGTTATGGAGAGTTAAAATAAGTAATAATAATAATTACCAGGGATTGTGGAATTCGATTTGTTTTTTGAAATAAACCCGGCTCTGTAATATATAATTGACTCTCGTATTCTCTCACTCTTTCATTGTTTCACTCCCTTGTAGGCCCAATGTTTACGTTCCTTTTTTTTCCAGTATCCTCACTCCGCTGGGTCGCCATTCAAAAAAAGGGCTTCTTAGCTCAATGGGTTTCACTCAAAATAAATAGAGTTTTTACAAAATATGAGGCTAGGCAATTAAGTTAATACTTGGCCAATGGATGAACTATCAACTGTTTACAAATACGATTGTGTTTCAATAAATAAAGAGGCTTTAAATGATTACATGTGCCTTATATTTGTGTATTTTGTAAAAAAAAAAAACCAAGTGAATGGCACATGACCCTGAAATCGTGCGGGATTTCTATCCCTCTCTCTAGATTTTGCCACTAGATGGCAGATGTGTCACGATCAAAGGTGGCAAAGCACTCGCACAAATGCACACACATTAGAAGAGGCACAAAGCTGCTGTTTTTCTCCGTGGGAAGAAGCGGGATAGAGTGTCACCTTTGAATCAAGGCAATGTTTTCAAATGGGTGGGATGTCTGAAATCAGGAGGTCTTTGTGATGATGAGAGTCGATGCTTCAACTCCAGCCAAAGTCACTTACGATGAAAGATTGATTTTCGAATGCCAGGTCAGTAGGAATTAAGCACGTGTCAGCAATTATACAGATAAGTATAGGAACAATCAATGCAATAATACATGATGCGTTGAGTTCCTGAAAAAATTTACCCATTGGATTCCAGGAATGTTAATAGAAGATTATAAAGCAAACGGCATCTGCGTTTGTCATGTCACATCAAGTAGAAAAGTGAGGATATATAGAGCATCTAAACGTGAATATATCAAGGCGCTGTATGTATAAAGAGTAGGAAACTATACAGCAGAGAGAGGCATTATTGGTGACATACAGTTAGTAATGCCTCAATGTTAAGAGGTAGACGGGAGAGCGTTTAGACTAAAATGATTTCTCAGAGCAGACCTCTGGAGCGAGGGTGTTCAGAACCGGAAGTGACAATCTTCCACTGTGCAGGGTTTGACTGAGTGCTTTTTTTTTTATAGGCTTTGGTTTCTTGAGCAAGTCAGAGCAGGCTGAGATGAGACGTGAAAATCAGCAAAGTCCAAGTAGGAGCCAGTGGAAGAATGCGAGGATTGGGGATGACGTTATTTATTTCTGGATGCATTTTTGGATCATCTGTGATTTGAAGTTGGAAGGAGTTGGGGAGATCATGAAAGCAAGGGTGGCAGTAGTTGACGAATATGTGATGAAGACATGGTTAAGGGTCTCAGCAGCGAAATTATGTGGGATAACTTGTGTGTATGGAAGTCTTGCAAGTTTATGTGGGAGAACTATGAAAACTTAAAATCTAGATTGAACTCTCAGAGCTTGGTATCAAAAGTAACTCCAAGGTTTTGGCAACTTCTTGCAAAGCTTGATCTTGGAGTCTTTACTGGCAGACTTCTTGTCAATGATGGCAACATCAGTTTTCAAAACACTGAGAATGAAGAAAGTTTCAAGCAATCCAAGATTGGAATGCATCAAGGTTGGATTGCGAGAGCAGGACGGTGAGTTGAACTGGATAAGTAAGATAAGAATGCAGTCCTTGTCATGGAAATGGTGGTCATCGTTACAGGCGTAGATGAAATTGGCAAGTGGTGGTCAATGGATACAATCTAGATGCTGAAGATGCAACCTTGTGGTAAACCATAGCAAAGCTATTTTTGAGTGGGAGATATTGAAAGTTTGAAAATATAATAGGAGTGGAATGATAGGACAGAGCAGAATAATGAGAGAAGTGTTCTGGAGGTACCTGTGTCGGTTTTAAGGTGCTCAAGGAGGATGGTTATGGACTTTGTGTCAAAAGAAACAATGATGTCTATCCATGATCTGAAGTTCAAGTTCAAGTTCATTTATTAGGTATAGCCCTGTGAGCCATTCGGCTCTTGAATCGGGTGCAACCGCAACAAACAAAAAAATAAAAACATGAACAAGAAAACATCTTAAAGTGACTATGTGCAAACAGAAAATCCAAGAAGAGAGGTGATTGACCACATGCACAAAATCAGTCTGTACAGAGACCATGGCAGATTACCAGGTCTTCATTAGGTGAGAGAAACAAGGATGAAGACCGCTTGTGTTGCGATCGAAACGTCGTGGGTTTTTTTGCTTTTAATTGAGATTTTTGTTTTCTATCTACGTGACTTTGCCGAAAGCACCAAGCATATGCTATTAATTATATTGTGGAAAATATTTATTTTGCTTTAGTGTTGCCATCTCCATCCTCCTCTGTTCTCTGCCCTCCTCTTCATTTCCACAAAGGCCCCCTTCATTTGGCTCCTCCACACATCCTGATCCTTGGCCTTCCTCATGTTCGTTTCCCTTCCACTTTTCCTTCTTTAATGTCCTCATGCATCAAACCGAGTGGGTGGGTGGCCAGCACCGCACCGGGCTACCTAAATCCCCCCAGTGCTGATGTTTACTCACAGCACCGGGTAAATAACTTAAGGCCGAGTCAACCTAGGTGAGACCCAGGGCCAGTTTGCATAATTATCACTGATGTTAGGCTGGGCACAATGGTATGTGAAATTCATTAGACTGCCTAAATAGCTCAAACTAATCACGACCATCGTAGTGGTTAATATAAATTATAAACTAATAAGCAGTCAATGTCTTCTTCCCATATCCGTCTCCACATTAAAATAAGTATAACCCGTAAAAACAAAGTTTTTCACTCTAAATCCTTTATATGCGTGGCGGCTAGAGTCCTCTCGTCCTCTGGCTTGAGATGGCTGCCACCTATGGGTCAGATGATTGTCTGCAGTATTAAACAATTGGTAATTCAATATTTAATTTGTTTTCCCTAAACAGTGTAAAATTTAGGAAAAAAATTTTCACGAACATTAATTGTCTCGCACAACGAGTCTGTGTGCAAAATGTCAGCTCGATTGGATCACTGGAAGTGGGTTAAAAAACGACCGAAAGGTTTGCACGGTCGTAAGCAAGCAAGCAAGCACGCAAGCACGCAAGCAAGCAAGCGAACTTAATATAAAGGATTTAAAAACATCACAACCCACATCAGCTGCAGTCTTCTGGTTAAGAGTTTGTCTGAAGTCAGCTATCTAATGGGCTCGATGTTTGACATTGGCCATGATTCAACATCAAGTTCAACACAAGAACAGAAATTCAGCAGAGGAAACGATCACGGACTGGTCTGATGCGATTTGCACTTTAACAGAGAGAGGGAAAAGTTAACCATAGGCAAAACCAATATGGTCAACATCAATATTTATACATGCGGTATACATCAAAAATGAAATTGATTTCACGACTCTTGCGATTACAAAAAAATGTACCCTCTTTGTAAGTTGCGTGTCCATCATGAAATTGTGAACATGTTTCTCAGCCTTGGTCAGCTCCAGCTTGCGGGCAACCACAGCCACCACCAGAGCGGTGCATCCTGCACCCTGCAAGCAAAGAGTGAACATGTAGCAGCACACGCACACAAACTGGAGAGAACAACACATGCATGCACAAGGCAGGATAACCCCTTTGCGTATTTACGAGTAATACGAAGGAGGGAGGGCGGGAAAACTGGTTCACCTAAGTCTGGAAGGCCAATCTGTGCGCGTTATTATGACTCTCGTCAGAAAATCTGATGATGAATATTTTCCCCATTTACGTTTATGACTTTATTTTATCCAATACTCGCTTTACTACCCGGCTTCGCCCGGGACTTGGATTCACCACGCCCGGCCGCCTTTTTCTCCCCAGTGGCGATGTTCACACACCACAGCAGTTACTCATTTGAGGCTGAGTCGACCTAGGGGAGACCCAGGAGCGGTTCAAATAATCGTCACTGGTGGTGGCCGTGAGCGGGAATCGAACTCGGGTCGCCGGGTTCGTAGCGCGGTGCGCTAAGCACTACACGACAATGCGTTACGCTTCCACATGCGCGGGTCACATGACAGATTTGACATCACAGCTCACTGGCCGTGCAAAAAATATATGCATTATTGAGCACCCCCCCCCCCCAAAAAAAATGTAAGTGTATTTTTTATAATTTTTGCATGGTGTACAGTCTGGAAAGTACCTACATGGCAAATTTCAAGTTTGTTGCATGTCGGGAAGTACGCTAAACATTTTGAACAGCCACACATAATCACAACTTTGCCTTGTACATATATATGGAGATGACCCACAGAAAACGTCTTCCACTGTTGCTGCAAACTGTCATGGTGAAAGCAGTTTGTTGTTTGACGAGTGCTGATTTGTACACTGATCACTGCACGTAATCTCAAGGTAATGGTTCATTTTGGGAAAGGGTTTTGACAATTGTATACTGCATGTGTTTATACAAATGTCCCAATATTAGAGCATGTGACTGACATGCTACTGCTCAGGTGTGTTTGTTAAGAGAACTCCACTCCCCGCACTGCAAACACCTGCAATTATCACGTGTTTTAATTCTTATATTTATCATCTAATTAACCAAATAGAAATTGTAATCTGTGCTGTTACACAGAAGGAAATGAGAAAACTCCATACTTCTACAAGAATGGTAACCATTTATATTACAGAGGAACAGTTGGTGGGAATCATTGAGAAGTGGGATAACCTCATCTCTCTTGGAATCAAACACAGCTCCAAGACTTGTGACAAGAGTTGCTTCGCTATCAGAGTTGCCCAGCTCATTGCTTTTATGGCTTTATTTTGGTGATTTCGAAAAGTTTTTTGGTTTGGCCATGTTTGTTTGTTGTAGTATGGAGTTAAACTGATGGCTTTAATCTAAGTTGTCTTGTGGTTGTTGTTGTTTGACTTGCATCCCACTAGGATTTTTGCACAGCGTTGGTGTACGGTGCTTTTTTCTGGAAGATTTTGCTGTTTTTACCTGGATTTTTATGTTTGCGCGTAGTCACTTTAAGATGTTTTCTTGTTCATGTTTTAGTTTTTTGTTTGTTGCGGTTGCACCCGATTCAAGAGCCGAATGGCTCACAGAGCTATACCAAATAAATGAAACTGAAACACTCACGCTCTCAAAATGCTATACCTCAACAACAAGCCACGGTGATGATGAAGCAGGCCAAATGTATGAGAACACATTTCCCAACTGCCCAACGAGGATCAAATTCGGCCAAATTTGGAATACTGTTGTTATTTCGGCACTGGAGCACCCAGTTCCTGCCCCACTGCACTTGATTGGATTAAACGCAGTCAGAGTGATTAATGATCCAGCAGCACTCGCTAATTTACTCCAATCACTTTCTCACAAGCGGCCAGTCCCCTCCTTCTCACTCTTCTATCACTACTACTATAGTCAGTGCTCGTGTGAACTTCATTCGTTCGTTCCTCTGCCCGTGTGTATTACAGGACCTGGTCTATCAGACGCACACTTTTGTCTTAGCCGTACTGTATTCAACCACCATATTTGGAGGTCACCAAACTTCTCTGTCTGCTTCTCCCCTCGCGCTGCTTGACTTTGGGATTCCCTCCCATCTTCTCTTTCCGCCGATCTAATAACCTCGCCGAAATTCAAGAAACGTGTGAACTCTTATCCATTGCAACTTTGACAGTGCCGTTTGTTGCTGGCCGCTTAACGTTTTGGCCTGTGCTCAGCAACTGTGTAAGAAAACTCCACAAAGTAGTACCATTTCCATTTCAATGAAATGTCAACAAATCTAATGTTTTCTCAACATTAGTATTAACTCAATAACATGCCAAACATTTATTTTCACAAGTCTATATCGATACGTATTTGTGCTCTGAAGTAAAAACTGAGCTGGTGGACGTAACTGGACAACCATTACATCATCTCGTTAACTCTGATTAGCATCTTTATATTATTTATTAGGTCATCGTTGAGTATCCTTTACCATTCTCTTGACACGTATGTGATGTTGTCTCTTGACTGTACTGTGTACATGTATTGACTGCAGTGCTGTACACTGTAACTAACCTTCTCACGTGCTCTCTGTGGACCTGACTGGGTATGGGTTCATAAGCGTATTAAAGGTTATTTATTATAAGCCGAGGGCTGCGAAGCTTAACACAAATAGCGAGCAATATACGAGGGGAAAACACCAGCTGCAGGCATGATTAGCACACTCTGGCTCGCCACATCATCCACTGCTTCTCTTCTTTGCCTCTTTAATCACTGGAAAAACCTCATCTTCAGCTTAAGCCTCATGTTCCTTTTTAACTGCGGCTCTGGGGATGCGGCCTTCATCATCGTCATCATCATCATAAACTCTGCCGTCTGTCCCAAGAGGTCCCCCCCCGTCTAGGCAATCCTCGGCCAGCTCTGCCTCGTGGAGTCTATTCTGGTGACCTCTAAGTTTAACTGGCCCCTGGGTGTGGCCTCGAATGTATGTAGGTCTGGCCAACTCTGAAAACTCAAGCTGCTAATCGGGGCCCATCCTTGGTTTTCAACTTCAGAGGCACGTCACCTGACCAAGAAGGTTGACAAATAAGCCAGGTATGTGTCTTACAAAGCACGAGCAGGTATTGTGACCTCCCGTTGTTGATTATATTATTTCTTACACCACACACTCATTTATTTGGTTACTTTTTATCAAGTGTAAAATGTGTGATAATTATAGTGGTTATAGTGAGGATAGTGGTGAGGATAGTAGTTATGGTGATGATGTTAGTTAGTGGTAATACTGTGGTGGTGGGGATATTATTGATGGTAAAATGGCAATAACGAAGTAATGCACACTCCTGTACTGCTGATTAATTATACGCACACTACTGTAAGATACTACAATGCAATTAATGCATTATACACTCCAACCATTCCTTTTCCTATTGGTATCTGTGGCACCAGGACCACCTTACCAAAAATGTAACCACCTGACAGAGACACAAAGAGACAGACAGACAGATGGGGATATGAAAAAAATACAAAGGCAGTGAGATGGAGAGCCTTGCCATTTCACTGGAAAAAGGATTTTTTTTTATTCTTCGAATTAGGATTTGCAGTAAACTGATTATCACGGCTAGCTACATACGATGTGAAAGGAGTTAAACATACATACATAATGCATTTGCAATTGGGCTGAACAGTCAAAAGTTATATTTAGTGTACCCCTAGTATTGAGGTATGGGTGTTTGAGGCGGGGCTCTCGCATGCGTTGATACACAGGTCAGAAAGCTGGAATTAAAGTAGGGAGGAAATACGCTTCTAACATCTGAATGCTGGTGCATGCACGGTAGGATCTTGTGCCCGTGTACGGTGACTTGAAGTTCAAAATTGACCGTGGCAAGAAAACATTGTAAATATATAGGTGAGCTCTGACTTGCAACCTTTCTTACAGTAAAACCCCCACAGTAACGACCAAAACTCGTATCTACGACCGCCTAACGGCTGCTGCCAACACCGAGTCGCCTGATAGCGCTGCTTTGCTCTTCCACCGTATGCGTATGTACAGTATAGCCCGTCAATCTGCAGCTGCGCCTAGAGCGAACGCAGTTCGAAGGTCCTTGGAGCAATGAAGAATGCCTATGCTTGCTACAGGGAGCTTTACTATGAAAGGAAGGAGGCGTCTTCAGTTCAAACATCATTGGACTCGTATTTTAAGAAGCCTCAGCCAGTGCAGCCCCATGCAGAAAAGTACTTACGAATTTTCAAACGTAAGCGTTTTATATTTACTTAATAAATGTTTGCAAAAGGTATGCTAAGTTACAATAAATGTTCGTTAGGGTTATTTTCATTTATTTTCGTGGTCAATTTTGGTATTTTAATGGTATGTAATGGGTTTCCAGGAACGGAACCCCAATGTATAACATTGCGCCAATGGGAAACAAGGCTTCGAATTACGACGGCTCCACTTGCGACCGTCTGTCTGTCAAGGAACCAAGTTAGGTCGTTGGTGCGGGATGTCACCTGTAATCAGGAAGCGGAGGTTGTGATGAGGTTTGGAAGATTTATCATACGAGAGGACAGCACATTTCTTTATCGGGCAATAAAATGGGCACCTAGAGGTCAGCAACTAAGGGAAATGCCAAAGATAGATGATGGGATACTGGGCAACAGCTATTGCATCGACTCTCTTTCATAGTTGATCCGACAACCACGTCAAGAGTACCGATGCATCGAGGGTTAATCACTGCATCGATTCACTGGCAATCCACGGATCGAGCAATCCCATTATCGCGGAATGTGTGTTAACGGCAGAAGGCAGTTAATCTTACACAAGCTCTGACCGAATGCACTGGTGAGTACATAACTTATTGTGCTTTGTATGTCACCATTAAAATGTATTTGTTTTTTTATTTATAAAATGCTTTAACACATTTATCATGTGTACAGTATCATTATTAAGGCTATTACCTATACTCCAACAAAGCCCTCATATATCGCTCATTGGTAGAAAACAAAGCGGTCGGGAACGCAAATCCATTAGAACCATGTTATAATTAGCGACTATAATGCCGTTTATATTGTGCTCCATTTACCGCTGTAGGTATATGCCTGTTTTATGTACCGTACTAACGAGTGAATTCTATCTAGATTTGAAGTTTTCGTGACTGCAGGGATCCATACTCTTTGCTTCTTTCGGTAAAGTCACAGGTAGAAAAATAAAATAAATCACGACGTTTCGGTCGCAACACAAGCGTCCGTCATCAGGTGGAACAACCACAGCAAGAAACAATTGCTGAAGTGAGCGAGAGGGCTCCCCCTTCTCTTACCTATATGGCCTCTTGTCACGGCAGCCCTCTCGCTCACTTCAGCAATTGTTTCTTGCTGTGGTTGTCCCACCTGATGACGGACGCTTGTGTTGCACCCGAAACGTCGTGGTTTATTTTATACTCTACGTGACTTTACCGAAAGTACCACAGAGTGACTTCTACTGTACTCCTACAAGGCAGTGGTGGGGGAGCTACTGTGCTCCCAATCCGGATCTTTTTTTGCGTTTAGTTTCATACCATCCACACCTCCAATGAGCATGGTCGGCTACATACAGTGCAAAAGAAGTTCAACATGCATACGTACAAGAGCTCCAGTTTCTTATAGGTGGAGCCTGAGACTATATCCTCGTCTTGTGAGTTGTCACCGAGCAAAGCAAATCGATTTATTTATTTGTGACTACTATTCGTGATAATTAATCAAATTGCACGAGGTGGGCTCTGATTGGCTCAGTGTAAGTCGCTCTCATTGGCTGAGCAAATGATGAGGGCGGGTACATTGTCTGTAGGTCAGTGTTCTCCAGGGTCTGCCTGTGATGACATTTATTTCAAACGAAAACCCTCCACCACCTGACGAAGACGATCAAATGTGGGCAAATAGGCCAATTGATTTGGTTCATCAGCAAAAGTGAAATGCTAAAAAGCAAGCAAAATCTTGGACATTTTTTATACGAAGTTTTGTTGGCAATTACATGCATCATGAGGCATTAACAAAAGCTCAGCTCTCAAACACATTCCTGCGGAGGGAGCTGGTAGGAACGTTGGGTTGCTCGGTCAATGGCCAGGGTCAACGGCGGCGTGGTGTATTCCGCAAATATGCCCGACTGTGAGGGCGGGCACAAGCCGGCGTGAGTAGGTTAAACGTTGAGTTTTATAAGGGCACCACGGGGTGACCAACCCCTCCCCTCCCCACCCAGCCCTACCCCCCACCCAGCCCCACCCTTCCAACCCAGCCCCTCCCTCCCCACCCAGCCCCTCCCCACCCTCCCCACCCAGCTCCACCCTCCCCACCCAGCCCCACCCTCCCAACCCAGCCTCACCCCACCCAGCCCCTCCCTCCCCACCCAGCTCCACCCTCCCCACCCAGCCCCTCCCTGCACGACGGACGGACACAATAATCCCCTGTGGGCTGGTGTAACCAGGAGGTCCCTACCAGTGTTAGGTTCGTGTGAACATAATTGGTGAACAACCATTGAGAGTAAAACATAAATGCAGCTCTCCACCCTGTTCTTTGCACAAATATTGTGCCGAGCTCCCATGGACTTAGAATCCAATCTCACATCACTTGGTGCAAGAAGAAATCTACATTGGGCCCTGTTCATCGATACAATCCTTATATAGAAATATAAAAAAAAATCTGCACCGTACTTAGCTAATTCATTATCCCCATTGTCAAAGCCAAAAAACCAAATGTGTTTGTTTTAATAGGTAACAAATCAACAACACTGAAACCTTTTTACAAGGAATCATGTCTGCATTAACCACAATACTTGTGGTCAAAATGCAAGCAAAAAACACACTCTGATAATATATGCATTGTCCTTGAAACTGATTGGTCCGCACCAGAGACGGCTTTCTTTTGAGCCTAGTCTCAATTGGCGCTAGACCAGAGGATGCCAAAAGGGGAAAAACCCTATTATTGTATTTTGGTACTGGCAAAGGAGGTCTAATGAGGTAACAAAGCCTTTGCTGTTGCAGAACCAACATTTTGGAACCTTGTTTCCTCCCTTAACATTGTATATCTTCCGTCAAAAAATATCCTGAAGCAGAATACTCGCGCTGGATACATCCACGTTTTGAAATGTGATTTGTAACTTTTATCCTCACCTGTGAATGTATGTATGCGCGTTGAACTTATTTCGCACTGTACGTAACTTAACCGTGTTAATCGGAGGTTGTGTATAGATAGTTCAATGTGAATGTGCCATTTTATTGAGGGACTACTAATGTACGGCGTTATCTTGGCGTGGTCTTGGACTGTTTTGTTGCTGTTTTTGCTCCTCTGCCCAAGCTTCATAAATGTATTACTTATTTCTACTTAATGACTTTCTTACCTTTTTCTCTATTTGTATTGTTTCTTGTCGTAACGTGCTGGCCCGCCCCATACTGATCATCTGTGAAACAGACCTTAGTAGCGCATCAGATTGCTCCAGTCTAAAGAAAGATTCTGATCCCATTGAGCTACCTCACTTCAATGGGCACTTCCGTGGGTGCGTTCCGTTTGCGCGTTTACCATAATGCCCGTGAGCAGACAGACGCCCCGTCCGCAGTAGGTGTGCGGCACCATGTCTCCATAGCCGATGGTGAGGAACGTAATCGAGATGAGCCACATGGCCGCCAGGAAATTGCTCGTTATGTCTTGGGGGTCATGATACCTGCAAGAAAATATCGTAAATATTCATCACCCAGCTGTTCGCGGAAGTAGAAGCCTTTCGGCTTGAGTTTAAGAGGAAGTGGAAAACGATGAATACTATAATGTTACCAAGGATTTTAAATGTTACAAGCCTTGCTGTTATACTTGGCCTTAAAACCACAAACACATACAGATACACATCTCATTAGAGGGATTGTTATTAAATAAGATTTACATGTCAAGATTGCACATTTGGTTGTTCAGCTGTGGCACAACACAACAATAATAAAAATAACGAATTGAATGTTCATTTACATTTGAACGTATTACCAGTAACGCTTATTAGGTGATATAACAGACATTTCACAAGGATATTTTGAAAAAATAGCCACAGTGCTGATTATTGCTTCAAACAACGGCAGGGTTCGAGTTTCTGGTTTTGCAGAAAGTTTTACCAGTGGTTATTTTATTTAAAAAAACCCACACTGATTTACGAGCACATCCTGGTGCCATTTTTGCTGGAAAAATGAATGGTCGACACAAATCCACTCCACAAATGGCAGCTAAGCAATCCCAAATGAGAACAGAGCACATTCTACCACAGAATTATAATGCAACGACATAATCCCTGCCCATATAAAGGGCACGAGAGATCCAGGGCCCGATTTGCCTGACATAAAACATGCAAAGATATGGGTACGTGCGTGGTTCAATGGCTCCACCACATTGGAGTTGTCTCCAATGTGGTGGAGGTCATTCTATAAAGTGCTCTGATAGGCTCACAGACTGCTCAACTCCCACTGCAACTCGTGAAGGTGGTTCAGAGCCGCAGCCGCAGCAGTAAAGGGCAACTGCACACCTGTGTTTCTGTGTGCATCTATAAAGTCAAGGTTAAGAGGTCAACACAACGAAGAGGACTACTTAGTCAATGCCACACCTCCCAATCTCACATATGCCCGATACTGTAGCTGTTATACTAAACGAACTGTATTTTTATTTTACCAGGTAAGGCCGGCTGAGCGATATCGCTACTTTTCAGAAGCGATATGGCCACAAATGATAGCTCAAAGAAGTGGCTTGTCACGTGGAAATTTATAACAGCCACATTCTGTGAACGAATGTTTCTAAATGAGGAGGGAAAAACTGGAGGACCCAGAGAAAAATCCATGCGACCACGGGGAGAGCATGCAAACTCCAAATATGCAGGCGTCAGGGTCGGGATCGAACTCACGATCTCCTGTATACCAGGTGAGGTAGTTAACATCACCACAGCGACACCCACATTTGACATGCGCACACATATACATGCAGAGCATTCTGCAGAAGCTTATAGGCTGTTTGTGCATGATAGATACTTTCAGAGCAGTGAACCAGTGGTCAGCAGCCTGAGTTCGATTTTCAGTCACCATAGCAGAGGCAAGTGGCATATGAACCTGTCAATGGGTAAGAAAGATTGTATCACTCTCGCCATGCCCCAGCTCGGCCCTAATCCCACCCCCACTTTGAGCCATTCTGCCATCGCAAGATGAGGAGCAATGACAATAGGCTCCTCCTGTCAGTGCGGAATCAGCAACCAATATAGAAGGTTGAATAGGGACAATTTACCACAAAAAATACTGCAGTACTGCCAAAATGAGGTGGATTAAGAGCTAAAAACCCATCCATGAACTGGGCCCCGCGTGTTTATTGACCTCACAATCCACTTCACTATGCATATTGCTATTGAAGGACAAAGACTTCTGCTACCATAACATTCTTACTTTATTCCACCAGCAAAAATAATAATAAGCGGAAACTTTCTCAGAAGCAGTTATCAACTTCGTGTTTGGAAAGCTCATTATTAAAGTAAAAAAATAGGTCTACAATTTTTGTAAGAAATTTTCTTTAAAATATACTTTAAAATCACTCAAATGCTCAAACAGGCCAATTATATATGCTCTATATTGTCTGGAATGTAATCACAATATCGACATCCACATGTCTTTTCTCTCCAGACATATAAGCTTGCTTAAAGTAAAAATTGTATTTGCATAATACTGCCTTGTGATTGTACCGCCTTTTAATACATAAATAATATATAATCGATCAGGATAACTTGATCTGCATCCTAAAAAATCGGATGCCTTCACTGTTGTCAGCACTGGCCCATGATTTTGCCATTGAATACTCTGAGAGTTGGTTGCCAAATCTAAATAATGGAGTCATATTTCATCCATTTCCACAAATTTGGTGTAAATGTGTTTTTTGTTTGTTTAATTGGTACTGATCTGAATCAACATTTTTACCACGCTTCTTGCAAACACCTTTTTTTATCCCCAAAGTATTGGTCAACACGCATGCATTATACATATTGATAGGCCAACAATCTCATAAATCTCTACTTTATGGGCAAGCGACATTTGTGAGTTTAACTGACGTTTAAGTTTGTAACTGATATTTGAGGACATTTAGACTGCACATCTATTTCACAAGTCTCTCATCCACATTTCAATTTAGTCCATAACTTCTTAACCATGAAATATCATTCGGCAGGTTCTCATAATGTGCATTCTATGTCTTGCTGGATCATGTTCTTCTTTTGAAGATATTTAATTCCTTTACCTCAGCTCAAATCTCTATATTGTGCAGTTCCAAAAAACTAAAAGAATTCAAACAGCTTTATAAATCCTCTATTTTCCCCTCTAGTGGCTCCCACTGATGCTGGAGAGTTTACTAAAGGGACTCCATCTTGAATCAAGCCAATGTAAACATTTCTCCCAATGCTACCATGTGGCTATGAAAATGAGAAGAATTCTGACAGGGGCAGTCGCTCTCATGCAGATGTTTGGGCTTTTCCTGAATTTCAAAGTAGTTTTTTTGTCTGGAAGAAAAGCTTCAATAAAAGACTACACATCAGCGTAATGGATTCTGAGATTGAGGCAAGTGATGCTTACCAGATCTAAAATAACTTTTGATCTGATGACTGGACTCTGATGACAAAAAGGCCAATCAGTAAGAGATATACATGGACATCTGTTTTACATATGTAATGGGTTCCGGAGACACTTGTAGAGGTAACTTCTTTATTCCGATACAACACTCCAACAGTCCTGATACTCTGTTACAGCCTAGGGACACAGCCTAGGGACACAGCCTAGGGACACAGCCTACTCTGGCTACGCTCCCGGGTCCTCCGGCTACAATTACCCTAGGGGAGGCTACCTGATCCGACCCAGCCAAGGTGCGGGTCTAGACTCTGGCTTCCTCGGAACTCGCTCTTACAAGGACGTAGAGCCGGGAGTCCCAGAGTCCCACCACTGGCCCGCACAGCGTCCCGGCCCTTACAAGGACAAGCGGGGCGAGGGGGTCCAGGGTCCTAAGCTGGCTGGTCTTGGGTCTTGAGCTGCGACTGGTCCTGATCGGCTGGGGAGGTCCCCATTTATGCCCCTTTGCCCATCGAGGGGTGGCGTTGCGTGGGATCGTAGATCCCCCGCACCCCCCCCCCCCTTGGCGGTACGGGGCACCCTTGCAGATGGACATCGTCTACCACTGCCGATAAGCGTGGTCCATCTACGGCACTACACATAGGGCCACTACAATCACATTGCAGTGCTATTATGAAGCGCTTAGTGAGACCAAAGAGCCACAATGATAAAATCATGAGCTCTTAAGTGAATTTCAAGAGCAAAGTGAAGCTAGCTTTGAATTTCTTCTATGATTAGCTCCTAAAGATGATAAGCAATTCCCCCTTGCACCGACCTTATTAAGGACACCGTAATGTTTTGAACCTTCAATATATGAGAAACGTGTTAATATGCGAGGCTGATAAAATCACGAGAAAATATTCTTCTGCATGTGGCACTATGGAAATCCTTACGTAACTTCACTTTCTGTCGCGACTCCTATGTGTCAGTGGTTGCATTTCCATTTCCAAATCCCTATCATCTCATGTGATCCAGAGCAAGTTGTGAGGTTCCAATAAAAAGTCTCAAGAGCTGGAGAATATTCTTAGATTTTGAGTCAACCCCTCGCTGTTGACATGGTACAACCCAAGGTACAAATTGGTGCACAATCACATTTAACAAAAACACTCAACACATTCATCAATAACACTGCCTTACAGGACACATAATAGGTGACGTTTTGGGCAATTTCCCTTCTTCAAAGCATCCTTCTTCTTGTGCAATGAAGAAAGGCCCCTGCCCAAAACGTCACCTATTCTATATTTTATTATTTAAATGCCGCAGTGTTATTGACGACAGACATAGCGAGTTTTTTGGTCCATTGTACAAAATTGGAGTTTTCCACTTTTCTAGGAAACCGGTGAGATTATCCCCAGTGAACATTCTGCTTAAACAGAGATTTCGCAGGGGAATTATAAAGGATTTGTGTCCTGCTGAGGCAGTGACTTCTTTGAGGATATATGTCTTCCTCTGCGTCTTGCCTATGATGCCACCCCCCTACAGCATTACCCATGTGAACATTGTGCCGACACTTCGAATTAATGTAAAATTCTTGTGCCTGGGATCCGTGCATACAAAAAAAATATCTAGAATCCAGAAACCCAGGCACAAGAGAGACCTGGAGTAGGCATCATCCACTTTTAGGGTGAAGCCACATTCTGACTCCGTCATCACGTGTGCAACCCCTGTGCACAATGGGCGGTTGGTGACACAGCCTCTCGATAGCACGTTCACCGCTTGTTGTAGATGTTCATGGTTAGTGTCCAGCAGCAGCCCTTGGTATTAGTGAGGGTGTATTAATCCAAAAATATACACCCTCCGCTTCATAGTGGCCGTTAAAAGATCCAGTGAAGTAATTCAGCAACGTGATGAATCAATTACGTTCCTTAAATTGCTTGATCCACACCTAACACTGTTTAATATGTATAGGCGTCCCAATATATAGCACAGAATTGGGTATACCAATATCCTGAACACCGTCCACTTCATTTCATCAGCTCTGTCCATCTGTCTGTAGTGCGGGGCTCATAAATCTCACAAACACGATCCAATATGAATACAATTTTAGGATAAAGATGTG